CAGTTTAATTTTATCATTTTCTATGACTTTCTCTATTTTATGATCCCACCAGTTTTTGCTTACAGGCAAATGATATTTTTTGCAGATCTTCCAATGCACCATTGTTGCTACTTTGTCATGCCGCTGCTTGTAGTCAGTCTGTGCAATCTTCTTGCAACAGCTTACCAGGTGGTCCACTGTTTCTTCAGCTTCTTTGCATAGGCGGCACTTACTGTCTGTTGCTGTCTTCTCAATTTTGACTTTGTATGCATTTGTCCTTAAGGCTTGGTCTTGTGCAGCCAGAATTAGTCCCTCGGTCTCTTTCTTCAATTTTCCTGCTCTTAGCCATTGCCAGGTTTTATTATTATCTGCTTTCCCAGCTATTTTTTTCAATGTATTGGCCATGTAGTGCTTTGTCTTCCCATGCCTCTATTCTGTTCTTCATTTGGTCTTTCTTGTAGGCCAGTTTGGTCTCTCCAGTAGTCAGTAAGCCTTCCTGATATACTAATTTCAGTGCATCTTCATCATTGTTCTTCAGATATTCTTCCAAAGCCATTTTTTCTTCTTCAACCATCTGATGTACTTGTAGCATTCCACGCCCACCTATTTGCCTTGGTAGATAAAGTCTATCAATGTCACTGCGTGGATGAAGGGCGTGATTCATTGTCATTATTTTTCTGGTCTGCCTATCCATTGCTTTTAGTTCTGCTTGAGTCCAGTCCACTATTCCAGCTGTGTACCTAATGACTGGGATTGCCCAAGTGTTGATTGCCTTTATGGTATTTCCTCCATTGAGTTTGGATTTTAAGATCTTCTTCACTCTCTTGATGTATTCACCTCTAATCTTTTTCTTGACTTCAGTGTGCTTGATGTTGTCAGCTTGAAGGATACCCAAGTATTTGTAGTATCTTCCTCATCCAGACTCTTAATGTTATTTTCATGGGGCATCTTGATTCCTTCAGTTTTCACTATTTTTCCTTGTTTGATAGTAAGTGTGGCACATTTGTCCAAGCCAAACTCCATTACAATATCTTGGCTATATATACGGACAGTGTTGAGCAGCGATTCTATTTCAGATGATGTTTTTCCATACAGCTTCAGATCATCCATGTAAAGGAGGTGGGATAGTCTGGCAGATGTTTTTGATGTTTGATAGCCATGTCCTGAGTTATTCAGTATTGTTGACAGAGGAAACAGTGCAATAACAAATAGTAATGGTGATAATGAATCTCCTTGAAATATTCCTCTCTTGATATTAACCTCTCCCAGCTTCTCACCATTGATCTGCAACTGTGTCTTCCATTGTGCCATCGATCTTTGCACAAATTTTCTGATGTTTCTACTGACTCCTGTTATTTCTAGGCACTTGATTATCCAATCATGTGGCAGAGAGTCAAATGCCTTTTTGTAGTCAATCCATGCCACATTCAGGTTGGTCTTCCTTCTCTTGCAGTTTTCCAAGATCATTTTGTCTATTAGGAGTTGATCTTTTGTTCCTCTGCTATTGGGGCGGTTTCCTTTCTGCTCAGGTGGAAAGAGATTGTTTTCAACTAGATGCTGTTGTACTGCATCAGCTACCACACCAGTTAGTAATTTGAATGTTGTTGGTAAGCAGGTAATTGGCCTGTAGTTACCTGGTGTTGCCCCTTTTGCTGGATTTTTCATTATTAGGTAGGTTTTCCCAGTTGTTAGCCACTTTTCAATTTCTCCTCCTTGTAGTATATTGTTGAACTGCTTGGCAATGAGTGGGTGTATAACAGTTAGATGTTTCAACCAAAACCCATGCAGTTCATCTTCACCTGGTGCTGACCAATTTTTGATTTTCTTTGCTCTTTTTTCTACCATTTTTGTTGTTATTACTAGTTCTTTCATTTCAACTTCTGTTTTATTTGCATCCACCTCTTTTAACCAAGCCGCATCCTTGTTGTATTTCTTTGGGTTATCCCATATCTGCTTCCAGAACTGCACTGTTTCTTCCTTGTCAGGTACTGACTGATTCCTTGCAGTTTCTCCATTGATGGATTGGTAGAAACGTTTCTGATTGGATTGAAATTGGAGGTTCTGCCTATAGTTTGCAATTCGAGCTTCATATCTACTGATTTTCCTGGCTATAGCTGTTATTTGTTGCTTTATTATTTCCAGTGCTTCCTTGATCTTCCTTGTTTCTAAGTGGTATTTCTTGATTAGGTATTCTTTGGTCTTCTTGTTTCAGCTTCTTTTCTTTCATCTGTTCTAGCTTGCTTGCATGTGATCTTAACTTGCTGATCTTATTTTCTAGTCTAACCTTCCATTTTTGTGGTGCACTGTTTGTTTGTTTTTCTTTTTTGTTGATTTTACATCCCAGGTATTCTGTTATAACTGCAGCTGTGCTGTACATTAGTTGGTTTGTTTCTTGCAGTGAATTGGTGCTTATACTTGCTATTGCAGTATTTGCATCTTTTAATGCTTGTGCTAGCTGTTTCTTTGGAACAAGCTTCAATGCAGGCAGCCTTATTCTGTTGTTTTTGTGCTGTTCTAGATACTCAATTATTCTTTGTTTCAATTCTTTTATTTCTTTAGTTAGAGGGTTTTGTTCTTCCTGAGGAAGAGGTGCCTGGTTTCCAAATGAGAACAGTTGTATATCTCTACTGGATTCTTTCACTGCCAACTCCCCCTGGTTTGCCTCTACATTCTGAATTACTTCTTGTAAGGCTTTGATTTCTTTGCCCTGGGTAAACCTTTGCAGTTCGTCCAATTCTGTTTCTGTAAATACTTTATTTCGTGTTATAAATCGGCGTTGATCTGCTAGTCTCTGTTCTGTTATTTCTGATTCTGGATGTTGTTCTTTCCAGAATTCGTGCATTCGTTTTAGATATCCTCGTCTTGTTGGACTTGATCTGTAGTAACAGATCATTATTTCTTTGTTTTCCATCACTGTGTATCTGCGACGGGTAAACACCTTTTCTTCCAGTAGTTCTGCAGCTGCTGGCCCTGGTTGCTCAGCCAACAGTCCTGAGTCCTGTAACCCATTTTTCACCAGATATCCAGGAACTCCAATATCTAGTGCGGACCTTGTTAACCCGGGCGACGTCCGAGCCGGTATGGCATTCTGAAATTTACGTCTCACCATATTTTTTATGGGAGAGACACTCTTTGTCTGACTCCTCTGATGAGACCTGTCCAGTATGGTTGAACCTCTGGCATAGCTCTCATCTTCCTCAGAGTACACAAGCCCCACAACCACGTCAAGGTAGTGCCTCACTGGGGGTTATTATTATTATTATTATTATTTTTTAGTGAACGTTCAAAGTTACGACATCACCGAAAAAAGAGTCTTAGGATCATTTTTCACCCTTACGACTGTCCCAGCACCTCCCCTAGGGTCATGGGATCAAAATTCAGACCCTTGACAACGGACTCGTATTTATGACCGTTGCTGTGTCCTGGAGGGGGGTCATGTGATCCCCTTCTGCGACCTTCCGGCAAAGCAAAGTCAAAGGGGGAGACCGATTCATTGAACAACCGCCCGACTGACTTAACAACTGCAGGGATTTGCTTCCCCTCTGTGGCATGAGGTCGTAAAATGGAGCCAAACTCACTTAACTGTTTCGCTTAGCAACCTAAATGTTGGGCTCAATTGCGATGATAAGTTGAGGACTACCTACATTGGAGGGAATGAATGACTGCAGATAATTGGGACTACGTCTGCCTAATTTCCCTGTGGCTATCTCATCATCAAGGCAATGGGATAAAGCAATGAAAGCTTAGCCAGCAGCTGGGCATCTACTGGCTAAAACAGATGAATCTCAGTCAGCTAGCTGTAAATTAGCTTGGAGGAGGCAGGAGTAGACTGGGATAACCATCTCTGAGTTACCCAGTTAAGGGGCCAAATGGTAACAGAAAGGAAAGCTGAACTCTCCACCATGAACCACTTTACAATGCATTGGTAAGGCCACTAATAATAATAATAATAATAATAATAATAATAATAATAATAATAATAAGAAGAAGAAGAAGAAGAAGAAGAAGAAGAAGAAGAAGAAGAAGAAGAAGAAGAAGAAGAAGAAGAAGAAGAAGAAGAAGAAGAAGAAGAAGAAGAAGAAGAAGAAGAAGAAGAAGAAGAAGAAGAAGAAGAATAAGAAGAAGAAGAATAAGAAGAAGAAGAAGAATAAGAAGAAGAAGAAGAAGAAGAAGAAGAAGAAGAAGAAGAAGAAGAAGAAGAAGAAGAAGAAGAAGAAGAAGAAGAAGAAGAAGAAGAAGAAGAAGAAGAAGAAGAAGAAGAAGCAGCAGCGCCTTGGGTGCAATCCCAAAACAACTGGAGCACCACTTGAACACCATTGGCATTGACAAATTCGCTATAGTCAATTGCAAAAGGCAGCCTTATTAGGAACTGCTTCCATCCTGCGACGATATCTGTAATACCATCAAACATCCACATCTGCCTATCCCAGGTCCTGGGTAAGGACTCGATAGGTAGACAAAATGCCAAATCCAGTCTGAACATCTGGCTGACTCTGCGATGATCCATAATAATAATAATAATAATAATAAAGTTGGAAAAGACCTTGAAGGTCATTTAGTCCAACCCCCTGCTCAGGCAGGAAACCCTATACCATTTCAGACAAATGGCTGTCCAGTCTCTTCTTAAAAACTTGTTGGAGCATTCACCGCTTCTGGAGGCAGGTTGTTCCACTGGTTAATTGTTCTAACTGTCAGGAAGTTTCTCCTTAGTTCTAGCTTGCTTCTCTCTTTGATAAGTTTCCATCTGTTGCGTCTTGTCCTGCCTTCAGGTGCCTTGGAGAATGACTCCCTCTTCTTTGTGGCAGCCCCCAAGATACTGGAACACTGCTATCATGTCCCCCCTCGTCCTTCTCTTCATTAAACTAGACATACCCAATTCCAGCAACCGTTCCTTATATGTTTTCGCCTCCAGTCCCCTGATCATCTTTGTTGCTCTTCTCTGTACTCTAGTTTCTAGAGTCACAGCATCTTTTTTACATCGTGGTGATCAAAACTGGGTGCAGTATTCCAAGTGTGGCCTTTCCAAGGCATTGTAAAGTGGTCTTAATACTTCACGTGATCTTGATTTTATCCTTGTTAATGCAGCCCAGTACTGTGTTGGCTTTTTTGGCAGCTGCAGCACACGGCTGGCTCAGGTTTTGAACTGCCGAGCTGTCAACCTCTCAATGGTCTTCCGACTCAGCATTCTAACCACGTGGGCCCCCGTAGCCCACTTCTTAGAGGGCCCAGTGCTTTATACCATTAGAAGGAGCACAGATCAACAAGATTTAACCCTAGACCAGCAATCAAGTAAACGATGCCCACCTCTCTTCTGTTAAGGATTCAATGCTTTGCTCACCTTTCAGGTCAGGACAGGAAGGCCTTCATACTGTCCCGGATGTCCCCTCTGCAGATGGGGCAGCGGCTCAGATTAGGGGCACATTCAGCACACACCACTAAGTGGCCACAAGGAACCAGCACAATGGACACATCTTTGTCCATGCACACTTTGCACATCCGTTCCTCCTGAAGCTGGCGCAGTTTTTCTTCCATGCTCGTGGTGGATTCTGAAAAAAGAGAGGTGACATCATGTAGGAGACAGTTGGAAGTTGTATTCTCTGGCCTTGCAATCCACAATAAAAGATTGTGAAGTTTGGTCCATAACGCATTATGAATGAGCTCCACTTTTAACTTATGGGCAATATATTGGGATATCATTTGTGCATGCAGCCAAGCAGACACATCCCATTTTGATGGTGGAAAAAACAATGGTGGTTGCACAAAAAAAATCCTAACAACTAGTTTCACCAAAATAGCACATGCCAACTTCATCCACCAAATGTCATTTAGGTAAGATGGACTGCAATTTTATTATTGACCATGTTGTCTAGGAATAATGAAAGCCATTATTACGTTGCAGCGTTTCTCCAACTCAGCAACTTTTAAGATATGTGGACTTCAGTTTCCAGAATTCCCCAGCCAGCATATCAGGAAGCGTGATGCTAAAGAAGAATGCTTTGCAGAAGAATTGTTTTATGTAAGAACAGTGCTTGTTCTCATGTTTCCCAGAAGAGGTAAAAATTAGCTGGTCCAAGCAATAGAAGAAGAGAAAAGAAAAGAATAGGAAGACCAACAAAGATGATCAGGGGACTGGAGGCTAAAACATATCAGGAACGGTTGCTGGAATTGAGTATGTCTAGTTTAACGAAGAGAAGGACGAGGGGGGACAGGATAGCAGTGTTCTAATATCTCAGGGGCTGCCCCAAAGAAGAGGGAGTCAAGCTATTCTCCAAAGCACCTGAAGGCAGGACAAGAAGCAACAGATGGACACTAATCAAGGAGAGAAGCAACCTAGAACTAAGGAGAAACTTTCTGGCAGCTAGAACAATTAACCAGTGGAACAACCTGACTCCAAAAGCAGTGAATGCTCCAACACTGGAAGTTTTTAAGAAGAGACTGGACAGCCATTTGTCTGAAATGGTATAGGGTTTCCTGCCTGAGCAGGGGGTTGAACTAGATGACCTCCAAGGTCCCTTCCAACTTTATTATTATTTATTTATCATTGTCATCATCATCATCATCATCATGTCGGGGTTCCGACTAATGAAGCACTTCAATGAACTTTCAGGCATGTTTCCTAAAGTCTTTATTACAGAGCTACAAATTGCCGGTCACCATCATGGACGTTTTGATGCCAGAATCTGACTTCCTCTTGCTGGCATCAAACTTTTCTTGCTAAACCCCTCCCTTATCTTGCAGTCACAAGTCACATTATCCAATTAGTGTGAAGGTCAAAAGTTTACTTCCTCTTTCTTTCCCGGGCTTTCCCCCCCCACTCTAAGCTATGTATTAACCCAGTAAATACCAGACAGTTTTGCATATTGTCAAAGCAAGAATATACAGTATTTGCAGCATTGACACATCATTAACATCACTCCTGCTCCTTCTGGCTTTGTTACTGAATGGAAGTAAAGCTATCAAGTTAATATTTCCTTTACAAGAATACAGACTCCAGGAAGAAGGCCAAAGGAAGAACTCTAAACAACAAAAGTCCTCCCAATTTTGTTGTGGTTTTGCAGTCAGAAGCTAAGACAGAAATTATTCAGCTTAACTCTAATGCACGTACACCACCTCTGTGGTGACACAGAGGAGAAAAGGTGCTTTCAGATTGGTCTGGATTATGGAAGCACACAAAGTCGTGACCACTCTTGCTAGCAGTAGCAATAGATGGTGCACTCAGGGAAAAAGAGTCCTCTGGCAGAGTATGGTAGTAGAGATACAGTGTTAGACAGAACAAGAGAAGGAAAGGATTTAGGTGTGCAGATGACTGCAAAATGAGTAAACAGTGTGGCCAGGCAGCTGTGAAGGTAAACAAAATTATGAGATGCACCACTAGAGGGATCATTAGGAGGATAAAGGAGGTCCTAATCCCACTACTGGTATACTGTATAGTAGGGGTCTTCAAACTTGGCCCTTTTATGACTTGTGGACTTCAACTCCCAGAATTCCTCAGCCAGGTGGAATTCTGGGAGTTGAAACCCACAAGTCATAAAAGGGCCAAGTTTGAAGACCTCTCCCGTATAGGGCAGTGATGGCAAACCTTTTAGTGCCCAAACTGCAACCCAAAACCCACTTACGTATCGCCAGGTGCCGGGTGGGTGTGGCCCACTCACTGGGTGCAGCTACAGTGGGCTTGGCAGACTGGGTGGGCGTGGCCACTGGATGGGTGTGGCTGCAGTAGTCATGGCAGATTGGGATGGGCATGGCCGGAGTGAGCATGGCCACCTTGATGTTGCTTATGGGGAGGGACACCTGTGGGAGCAGGGCAGGGTTGGGGGAGATCCAGGGGGTCTCTGGCGGGTGGGATGGTGGGCTCCCCAGTGGCGGCTCCAGGCTGGCTGGCTGGCCTTAGGCCAGTGATGGTGAACTTTTAGAGACCATGTGTGCTGCGGCGATGGCGCGTGCCCACAGAGAGGGCTCCACGTGCCGCCTCTGGCACGCGTGCCATAGGTTCGCCACCACTGGTATAGGGCTTTGGGCAGACCCCATCTGGAATACTGTGTCCAGTTCTGGACACCTACTTAAAAAAAGATAATAAGGTTGAGGGAGTCCAGAGATGGGCAACAAAAATAGTGCACGGTCTGAGGGACAAAAATATGTCAGGAGAAATTGGAAGAACTGAGTATGTACAGCTTGGAGGACAGAAGAGAAATGGGGGGACATGATTGAAACCTTTAAATAAATCGAGGGGATGTGAGTGAGGTTCTGTAAGGCAGTATTTTCACTATTAAGCAAAAATCAGGAACCCCGGAGCATAGCCTCACACTGACAAGGGGGGAACTTCAAAAGTCATGTTAGAAAATGTTAGTTCGCAGAAAGAATATGGATTACTTCTTTCCACCCTATTACAATGTGGATTTTTAGTAACAGCAACAGTATATTAGAGATACAGGTGGCCCTTGACTTAACAACCATTTGTCTGGTGCCTTTCAAACAGCACTGGTTCTCACATTAAAACTATCGCAGTATCCCTACAGTTTATGTGACCAAAATTCAGCCACTTAATGATGGTTAGAGCGGAGATAGGTCAGTCACCAGTTACTGAGTTTAAACGTGCTTGGGACAAACACATGTCCATCATCGGATGAAAATAAAAATAAAAAAATAAAAAATAAAAGATAATTTTAAAAACTCAAAGGACAGACTCGATGGACCGCTATGTCTTTTTCTGCCATCGGTTTTCTATGTTTCTAATCAATACTAGTAGCAAATAATAGCTAAACACACAGCTTGTAACTTTTTCTTTGCAATTGCTCTCCACCTGCCTGAATCTTTACCTGGCTCATGGGAGCGTTCTGCTTGTGTCTCTCTTCTCACCCTCCAAGGATCTGGTTCTCTTTCCAGAGACTCTGTATGAATATGTGGGCAACAGGAGAATGCATTAAAAGACAATGTTTAGAAGGATATAATATATAATTATATAATATATAATATAATAAAGTTGGAAGGGACCTTGGAGGTCATCTAGTCCAACCCCTTGCTCAGGCAGGAAACCCTATACCATTTCGGACAAATGGCTGCCCAGTCTCTTCTTAAAAACCTCCAGTGTTGGCGCATTCGCCACTTCTGGAGGCAGGTTGTTCCACTGGTTAATTGTTCTAACTGTCAGGAAGTTTCTCCTTAGTTCTTGGTTGCTTCTCTCTTTGGTTAGTTTCCACCCGTTGCTTCTTGTCCTGCCTTCAGGCGCTTTGGAAAATAGCTTGACTCCCTCTTCTTTGGGGCAGCCCCTGAGATATTGGAACACTGCTATCATGTCCCCCCTCATCCTTCTCTTCGTTAAACTAGACATACCCAATTCTAGCAACCGTTCTTTATATGTTTTAGCCTCCAGTCCCCTAATCATCTTTGTTGCTCTTCTCTGTACTCTTAATTTAGAAGGCAAGATGGGTGGCTTATAAATTTAAGAAAAATAATCTGTGAATGGGGGGGGAGATTTACCTACATTTTTGTCTATGGAGATTCTCTGTCATTCAAGATCATAGTTATCTCAAAGGTGAGGTTTTTTTAAAGGCAATTGGACTGTTTTTTGAGGAAAGAAAATGTTTTGGTTCTCATCTGCTTCTCAAATGTCTTCTTCCTCAAACAATCCAGTTGCCTTTAAAAAAAAAAAAAAAGACCAATGGATTGTTTGAGGAAGAAGACCTACACTTTTATTCAGCGTCAAACAAAAATGGGAAGCTTCGTTTTGTCTCACCAGTAAAGAGAGAATTTTCCAGATTTTGCTCACAGATAAGCTAAATGACATAATACAGATGGAAAGAATGGAGTTCAGTAGTGGCCATGGTGAAAATCTTTTTAACCTGCAGAGAATACTGACTTATTAAGAGAAGAATTACACCTCTTTGTGCAAGTTTTTTTTTTTTGAACAGGCCTGATTGATCAGGAAAGCATCAACACTTGTTAGAAGGACTCCAGGCTGGCATTCTACTTACACCTTTTACGTAACAAACATGCTCTGGAAATCACTAGTTACTCATCTTTGGGGAGGCTTCAGTTTGCATGAGGCTTTTAGCACCGTGTCAAGAATTACAATCACCCCGCATGATTGAAACCAGGATAAAAAAAAAGGACGGGGGGGGGTCAGGTCAACAACTGCATTTAAATCAGAGGCGACTTAGTGTTCAAAAATTGTGGGTTGCTGATCTCTAGGGAAGTCACAGAAAACACAAAGACACTGAAGTCTGCTTAATGCCACCCTCGGGAGGAAGATTTTTCAAGCATATATGCTACTGTGGCTTACCAAAAAGAACAAGGATGGTGCTCCATTGATGGCCTTAAAGCTTATTTCTCCAAGCTTCAGCATCCCATTATACTCAGCTGTCCCACATTGCCCTCATCTTCACCTCAATAAGCATTCTTTTTTTTAGTATTTAAATTCTTATTAGTTTATCAAAATATAAAATACAAAGAAAAATGAAAGTATATAAGGAATGGCTGCTGGAATTGGGTATGTCTAGTTTAATGAAGAGAAGGATGAGGGGGGACATGATAGCAGTGTTCCAATATCTCAGGGGCTGCCCCAAAGAAGAGGGAGTCAAGCTATTCTCCAAAACGTCTGAAGGCAGGACAAGAAGCAGTTGGTTGAAACTAATCAACGAGAGAAGCAACCTAGAACTAAGGAGAAACTTCTTGACAGTTAGAACAATTAACCAGTGGAACAACCTGCCTCCAGAAGCGGTGAATGCTCCAACACTGGAAGTCTTTAAGAAGAGACTGGAAAGCCATCTGTCCGAAATGGTATAGGGTTTCCTGCCTGAGCAGGGGGTTGGATTAGATGACCTCCAAGGTCCCTTCCAACTTTATTATTATTATTATTATTGTTGTTGTTGTTGTTGTTGTTGTTATTATTATTGTAAGGGGAGAGTAAGGGAGAAAAAAAGGAGAAGAGAAAAAAGTGTAGAGTAAAAGGGGAAAAAGAAAGAAAAGCATTGACTTGTCGCTCTTTTGAACACAGTAGAATAAGGTAGTAACATACAGCCTCGACGTTTTGCTTTTACATAATAATGTATGCTAGTCATTTCTATCACAACGCAGCCCAAGTTTCATTTTTTTTCCCACCTAAGGCACAAAGTCCAGAAGTGGTTTCCAAGGAGAAACAACTCAATAAACAAGCTGACCATTACAAATATTATCGTAAGGTCAGAGCAGATGGGGGTCAGCCACATGTCTTGTGTCTTCTGTATGGCTGCTGCTTTGATTCCATCCTGCCCGAAGCAAATATGGGCCTTGTTCAAACGCAGCTGGATAAGAGTCTCCATCGCTTGGCATTCAGCCTTGGGCACATCACCAGGATGGAGAAAAACTCACCAAGAGGGTATTTTGCATCGCAGTGATCAGGTGTGGGCAAACTGGCTCCCATTGCAAATAAATAGCAAGTTCTATATAGCCAAACAAGCCAACTAAGGAGGATAATTTGCTTCTAGCTATCAATGCGCTTTCCACTTTTGGCGATTGATATTCTTGCCTACTCACAATATTTAGTTCTGCCATCTTATCTCCTTCAGCTTTCATACCTATCTTTGTGCTGCGCTACCCAGAAACGTTCCTTTCCTTGAGCGCTAATATTTGCATGCAATGTTTCCTGATAATAGATTGCATTGCAACTTCTTAAAGGTGAGAGTTATTCTTTCTATACAGGTAGTCCTCGATTTGTAACCACAACTGGGACCAGAATTTCCATCATTAAGCAAGGGGGTTGTTAAGTGAGCAATTGTATGACCGTTTTTGCCAGGGTCGTCAATCAAATCAGGCTTCCCACATTGACTTGACTTGCTGGAAAATGTCCGCGTAAACGATATTCACATGACCCTGGGATGCTCTAACCATCATTAAGTGGCTGAATTTTGGTCACATAAACTGTAGGGATACTGCGATAGTTTTATTTATTTATTTATTTTATTTATTTATGAGACTTATATACCGCTTTAAGTGCAAGCACTCTCTAAGCCAGTGGTTCTCAACCTTTTTAATGCCGCGACCCCCAACCGGTCGTAAGTTGAGGACTACTCAACCGGTCGTAAGTCGAGGACTACTCAACTGGTGCAGCACCGTTTGCAGAATGGGACTTTTGGCGGGCTCAGCAGGGCAGAGACAGCCTGGACCATTCCTATTGGCTTTTGAAAGCCAATAGAATTAGACTCTATTCAAGAGAGTCTATTCTATTGGCTTTCAAAAGCCAATAGAATAAAAGGGAGTGGAACAGCTAAGGAAAAGGGGGAAAAAATGGCGGACTGCATTGTTTGGCGACCCCCATGAAATGGTCGTTCAACCCCAAATGGGGTCCCGACCCACAGGCTGAGAACCACTGCTCTAAGCGGTGTACACCAGTAAGCAATGTATATATATATATATATACATTGCCCCCAACAATCTGGGTCCTCATTTTACCTACCCCAGAAGGATGGAAGGCTGAGTCAACCTTGAGCCGGTGAGATTTGAACCGCTGACCTGCTGAACACAGTCATCTAAAGTGGCCTGCAGTACTGCACTCTAACTGCTGCGCCACCTCGGCTCAGTTTTAATGTGAGAACCAGTTTTAAGTCATTTTTTTTCCCAGTGCTGTTTGAAAGGCACCAGACAAATGGTTGTTAAGTCAAGGGCCACCTGTATCTCTAATATACTATTGCTGTTACTAAAACTCCACATTGTAATAGGGTGGAAAGAAGTAATCCATATGGTACCCTTAGTGCAGTGGTTCTCAACCTGTGGGTCAGGACCCCATTTGGGGTCGAACGACCATTTCACGGGGGTCGCCAAACAACGCAGTCCGCCATTTTTTTCCCCCTTTTCCTTAGCTGTGCTACTCCCTTTTATTCTATTGGCTTTTGAAAGCCAATAGAATAGACTCTCTTGAATAGAGTCTAATTCTATTGGCTTTCAAAAGCCAATAGGAATGGTCCAGGCTGTCTCTGCCCTGCTGAGCCCGCCAAAAGTCCCATTCTGCAAACGGCGCTGCACCAGTTGAGTAGTCCTCGACTTACGACCGGTTGAGTAGTCCTCGACTTACGACTGGTTGGGGGTCGCGGCATTAAAAAGGTTGAGAACCACTGCCTTAGAGGGTAAGTCTAAAATGTAGAATTGTGGGATAATGTGCAAATAACACTGGGCGTTCTGCTCAAGTTAAAAGACATGGCTGCCTAAGAAGTCAGCACTAACAATAATGTTATCCAAGTTAAGCAAGACATAAAAACTTCTTTTTTATCACCTACCATGAGAGCTTTCGGAATAGTCTTCAGACCAATGCAAGTTGTCTTCCTGAAAACCAAGACAAAATAGGAGAAGTCTGTATTAATTTCTAATGTATGCAGCCAGCAAACTCCCAGATTCTGAATGGCATAAATACAGATTAAAAGCCAATACCTAAAAACAAAACAAGGTAAATGTAACAGCAAAGGTAAAACAAGTCCTAGTGGACAATCACTTAAATATGAGGCAGTAGTGTGCTGCAGCTGCCAAAAAAGCCAACACAGTGCTAGGCTGCATTAACAGAGGGATAGAATCAAGATCACTGAAGTATTAATACCACTTTACAATGCCTTGGTAAGGCCACACTTGGAATACGGCATCCAGTTTTGGTCACCGCGATGTAAAAAAGATGTTGAGACTCTAGAAAGAGTGCAGAGAAGAGCAACAAAGATGATTAGGAGACTGGTGGCTAAAACATATAAGGAATGGTTGCTGGAATTGGGTATGTCTAGTTTAATGAAGAGAAGGACGAGGGGGGACATGATAGCAGTCTTCCAGTATCTCAGGGGCTTCCCCAAAGAGGGAGTCAAGCTATTCTCCAAAATGCCTGAAGGCAGGACAAGAAGCAACGGGCGGAAACTAATCAAGGAGAGAAGCAACCCAGAACTAAGGAGAAACTTCCTGACAGTGAGAACAATTAATCAGTGGAACAACCTGCCTCCAGAAGCTGTGAATGCTCCAACACTGGAAGTTTTTAAGAAGAGACTGGACAGCCATTTGTCCGAAATGGTGTAGGGTTTCCTGCCTGAGCAGGGGGTTGGACTAGATGACCTCCAAGGTCCCTTCCAACTTTACTACTACTACTACTATTATTATTATTATTATTATTATTATTATTATTATTAGTTAGAACAATTAACCAGTGGAACAACCTGCCTAATCAAGGAGAGAAGCAACCTAGATGACCATCCAACTTTATTATTATTAAGCCCTTAAATTACGACAATTGAGCCCACTTCCATTGCTAAGCAAGACAGCTGTTAAGTGAGTTTTGCCCCATTTTATGACCTTTCTTATCACAGTTGTTAAGTGAATCGCTGCAGTTGTTAAGTCAGTAACATGGTTGTTAAACGAATCTGACTTCCCCGTTGACTTTGCTTGTCAGGAGGACGCAAAAGGGGATCACATGACCCCAGGACACTGCGACCGTCATAAATATGAGCCAGTTGCCAAGCGCCTGAATTTTTTTTTTTTTATTGAAAAATTTTTAAAAGCTTTTACAAAAAACAAGAAACAACAACAACAAAAAAAACAAAACAACCCTCACCCAACCCTTCCCGAACCACCCCCTCCATCCCCCCCCCAAGCTTCCCAGAGCTGAATATAGGCTTAATTAATAATTTTTAAAATCCTAAAAAAAATTAAACAAATTATAAAATAATTAACAATAAGATATATATAATAAAAAAAGAGATATAAACCTTAAAAAGAAAAAGTGTTTAAAAAAGAAAAAAAAGAAGAGACATAAGAAGAAAAAAGAAAAAAGAGAAAAAATACAATCTATAAAATATCAAAATTTATATGCAAGTTATAAAAAAGCTAAATGATATTTTTTTATATCCAATTTGTATTGTATAAAGTTTATCCATTTTTCCCATACAGCAAAAAATTTCTCTTGCGATTGCTCTTTTAGGAAAGCCGAAATCTTTGCCATTTCCGCCAACCAAGCGCCTGAATTTTGATCACGTAACCCTGGGGATGCTGAACAGTTGTGTGAAAAATAGTCACAAGTCATTTTTTTTCCAGTGCCGTTGTAACTTTGAATGATCACTATAAACAAAAGACTGTAAGTCAAGGACTGTGTGTACTTTATCTGATGAGCAACTCTGTGACCGATCCCTAGATCAGGGGTAGGTAACCTGTTATGGTTCCGGCTAACGAAACACTTCGAAGAACTTCCAGGCATTGATTTTCCTAAAAGTCATTTATTGTTACAAAATGTCGGCACAGGCACAACGGAGGCTTTTTATGCTAAAATCTAAGTTCTTTTCCTCTGAACAGTTAATTTATCAGCATGTTCCCTCCCTAAATTAGCTGTCATATATCACATTATCCAATTAGTGTGAAGGTCAAAGGTTTCCTTCCTCTTTCTTTCCCGGGCTTTACCCCCACCCTCTTCTGCTCTGTATTAACCCCCAAAATACCAGACAGTTCTGCATATTGTCAAAGCAAGAATATACAGTATTTGCAGCATTGACATCCGGCCCCCCTTACAAGAAGGACAGATCCTGTAAAGTAAGCAAAAGCATATGTTAAGGGTTATCTTTCGTTTTGTTGGGGTGTTTCACATGAAACCTTTTGACCAATCTGTCAGCTTTCACTTCACTCGATTTCGCCCAGCTGGCTTCAGACAACGGGTATCCCTTCCATTGTACTAGGTACTGCAATTTCCCTCTAAAGATTCTAGAATCAAGAATACGTTTCACTTCATAGTGGGTCTGTCCCGCGACTACGAGGGGCCCAGGCGCCTTCTTCGGAGGAGGTCTTAAAGTGGAGCCCCGATAAGGCTTCAACAAGCTACAATGGAAAACTGGGTGAATTTTCCCTAAAAGTCTAGGGAGTTTTAGTTCTACTGTGACTGGGCTGATGATCCTTACTATGGGGAAAGGCCCCAAGAATTTGAGTCCCAATTTCTTTCTGGGCAATTTGAGGCGTAGATATTTAGTTGACAGATAGACCTTTTCCCCAACTTGGAATGTTCTTTGGGGAGCCCTCTTTTTTATCAGCCTGCTTTTTATAGGTTTCAAAAGTCTTTTTTAAAGCAGTTTTTGTGTTTCTCCAAACTTCTTCCCAACCCCTCACCCACTGATCAAGGGTCTGGGAAGCGGAGGGCAACTGAGGATATTCAGGTATTGAGCTGAATTCTTTTCCTATGGCCACTCTGAAAGGCGTGTAGCCGGTGCTGCTGTGCACAGAATTATTGTACGCCACCTCCGCAAAAGGGAGATCACTCCAGTTCGTCTGTTGGTAAGAAACGTAGCATCTAAGATATTGCTCCACCATTTTGTTAGCGGCTTCAGCGGCCCCATTGGTGTATTTATTCAGTTGATTAATGAGGTCCTACATCAGCGGTTCTCAACCTGTGGGTTGGGACCCCATTTGGGGTCGAACGACCATTTCACAGGGGTCGCCAAACAACGCAGTCCGCCATTTTTTCCCCCTTTTCCTTAGCTGTGCTACTCCCTTTTATTCTATTGGCTTTTGAAAGCCAATAGAATAGACTCTCTTGAATAGAGTCTAATTCTATTGGCTTTCAAAAGCCAATAGGAATTGTCCAGGTTGTCTCTGCCCTGCTGAGCCCGCCAAAAGTCCCATTCTACAAACGGTGCTGCACCAGTTGAGTAGTCCTCAACTTACAACCGGTTGAGTAGTCCTCGATTTACGACCGGTTGAGGGTCGCGGCATTAAAAAGGTTGAGAACCACTGTCCTACATGATCACTTGTACAAAGGGGTTTTGGTGATGATATCCTGATATACAGCATGAATATGACTGATCACATAAAGCTGGTGAGAGAAGTGTTAAAGAAACTATTGAATGCCAAGCTTTATGCCAAATTGTCGAAATGTCAATTTCACCAAACCCGATTAGGCTATCTTGGCTACAGAATTTCCAACGAGGGTATTGAAATGGATCCAGCCAAGGTGAAAGCTATAATCGATTGGCAGCCCCCAAAGACTCGCAAACAGCTCCAGAGCTTTCTGGGTTTTGCCAACTTTTATCGTCAATTCATCCCCTCTTTTGCCGAGATTGCCCTACCTCTTTCAGAACTACTCAAAACAGGCAAAGGAGGAGGGAAGCCACAACCGGGCCAACCACTAGCATGGACAATGGGCTGTCAAACAGCTTTTGAGAATTTAAAGAGACTATTTGCTGCTGAACCGGTTCTAAAGCACCCCTGCCCAGGGGGACCCTTTGTGATTCAAGCCGATGCCAGCGATGTGGCAGTTAGAGCTGTGTTACTGCAAAAGAACAAAAATGGGATCTTGCAACCCTATAGGTAGTCTCACAGTTCTCATTCCTTTCTCCCACCAGATAAACGGCTTCCATTTGTCTAACCAGGCTAGCCCTAGGATCATCGGCTTGCTCAAACCTCACCGGTTTGGAAAGCTGTTTTGCCCGTATGCCCATTTTCATGGCAAACGCCAGACTAATAATGCAGCGGGTGCATCCCGAATCAATTAGTACGTTCAAGTGCCCCAGACTTAGGGATTATAAGTTTGGCGGCCAGTGAAAAAGGTGAGATTTGTCGACTCACCATCAGGTCGTTCTCTCCTTCATCGTCGCTGTCAAAGAAGGGTAGAGCAGGGGCGGGTCCACCCGGAGTCCCGGCGTCCTCCTGTGTGGGGGATGTAATCTGGGCGACAGGTTCCTGCGTGAGTCGGTTGGATTTTTCTCTTGTTAGCCGCTGAGCAGGTTTCTTTCGCATTGCTGGTTCTGGTCTGTTCTGCAGTCGGGGGTAGGGGACTGGACAGTTGGCCGCTCGATGTCCTCCTTGTCCACACCGGAAGCACACAAGCGGCGGCCCTGCAGGTGGTCTAGGTCTGTCCATAGACGTAGTTGTTGGGGGTCTCCAGGGGGTTGGTTCTCGTCTGGGTCGTTCTGGTTTCGGTTCAATTTCAGGAGAGGGAGGCTTCTTATAGCGAGAGAGTTTAACATCCAGCTTCACAGCCGTCTGGTACCATTCCTGTAGCCGATCAGGTACTTCTCGATAGATGCAGGCCTGAGCAAGGTGATCGTCTAATCCCTCGATGAAGTGATGGAGGAGACACTGCTCAGGCCACCCCTCTATTCGATCTGCTATCTTGCGGAATTCTCGCACGTACTCCAGGGCAGGCCTCCCGGCTTGTTTTATTTTGTGAATTTGTCCTGCTGCTTTGAGGCCAATGGATGGGTCCTCAAATCGTTCTCTCAGACTTAAGAGAAAGAGGTGGGGATCTTCCAATTCGGGGGCTTGCTTGCTATATAGATTGTCCAGCCATTCAGATGCTTCTCCCTCTAGGTTGGACGTAATGACACTGACCATGGCCCCTGGTTCCGGGTAGAGATAGGCCCAGCGATTCAAGTGAGAACGCACTTGGTTGAGGAAAAAAAGCAGCTTCTCTGGGTCCCCATCAAAGGTTGCTTTGAAGGGTGGTGTGAACACAGGCTGCTGTGGCCTCCACTGAGGCTGTGGCTGCTGGCCCCACCCTGGTTGCTGGTCTAGTCTCCGCGCTTGTGGTGCCCCCAGTTGCTGTTGGCCCCATCCGGCCTGCTGATCCAATGGCTGCTGGGCTCTCTGCTGCTGGCCAGCGGGGGCTGGTGGTGCCCCCTGCTGCTGCAGGTCTCCCAATGGTGGCTGTGCAAGTGGGGGTTGTAGTGGTCTTCTCTGCTGTTGGACTGCAGGGGGTGGTGACGCCCTCTGCTGCAGTAGGCCCCTCAATGGCTGCTGGACATGCTGGGCCTCCCTCATCTGCAAGCTCACCGGCTGCAGCTCTCCTGGCTTTTGCACTACCCCAAGCTGCTGCAAGGCCTCTATTAGTTGATGTAGGCTGAGAGATGACTGATCACTCGTCTGTGGGGGTTGCTCAATTTCACCTTGCTGTAGGGACCCCAGGCTGGGGCTTCTTCTCTCTGTGGGCCTAGAGGCTCTGGCAGGGGATCCCAGGGGTTGAAAAGCTAATTGATCTGCGAGGGAGGGGCTGTAGGCTTCTCTCTGTAGGAATTGATTTCTGGGTTTCCTCTCTGAGTTTTGAAATCTTTCCAGTGACTCACCCACAACTCTGTTATATCTCCATTCTGCTTTTGAAGCCTTTGCTCTCAGCTGGGAAATCTGCCAGATTCCTCTCTCCCCTGGCTTGCCGGCTGTGGCTTCCCCCCCTGGGGAAACTGTTGCAGCCAGGGGGCTGGCCTCAGGCAATCTTTTGTTCTCCATAATGATATCTTCCCCAAATCTTTACCAGCTCCTCTCAAGCGTAGAGGCAGTAGATGGGGTTCGGGACCCCAGGTCGTTTGAAAAGGATTGAGATTTTAGCATGTTGTTATGGTTCCGCCTAATGAAACACTTCAAAGAACTTCCAGGCACTGATTTTCCTAAAAGTCATTTATTGTTACAAAATGTCGGCACAGGCATAACGGAGGCTTTTTATGCTAAGTTCTAAGTTCTCTTCCTCTGAGCAGTTGATTTATCAGCATGTTCCCTCCCTAAATTAGCTGTCATATATCACATTATCCAATGAGTGTGAAGGTCAAAAGTTTCCTTCCTCTTTCCCCGTGGTTTACCCCCACCCCCTTCTGCTCTGTATTAACCCCCCAAATACCAGACAGTTCTGCATATTGTCAAAGCAAGAATATACAATATTTGCAGCATTGACAGCCGTTGTAACTTTGAATGATCACTATAAACAAAAGACTGTAAGTCAAGGACTGTGTGTACTTTATCTGATGAGCAACTCTGTGACCAATCCCCAGATCAGGGGTGGGCAACCTTGGCTCTTTTATGACTTGTGGACTTCAACTCCCAGAATTCCTGAGCCAGCCACGCTGAGGGGAAAGGGAGAGTTTCCAAGCTGAGCCATGCTGGCTCAGGAATTCTGGGAGTTGAAGTCCACTAGTCATAGAAGAGCCAAGGTTGCCTTCCCCTGCCCCAAAACATTTGTCATAATGGCCCTGTCAATAGTGTTGTGGCCCTTCCCTTCCTTAAGTAAAGAATAAGTCACTTTCAACAGAGCCATTAATAAACTATGGATGGAAGAAATGCATTTTGCTCCTATGTAATTCCTAATATGACCTGTTACATGTATAGTCAGATTATAGTGTGTTTTCCTCAAATGGTGCTCAAAGGGTCTCTTTTTTTAAAAAAAAAAATCTCCTGAAACTCATCAGAAAACCGGGGAATCCCAAAGGTCATATATGAATAATCCAATCGGAGATCCTTATTCTGCCTCTCTTCAGGAGCGGGGACAAAGACCTTGAAACAAATTGTCCATATCCACAGGCTGAAAAGTTTTGGAAGCCATCCAGAATATTAGTCAACCAGAACAGACCAATTAAACCAGTGTTTCTCAACCTTGACAATTTTAAGGCATGTGGACTTCAACTCCCAGAATTCCACATCCAGCATTGCTGGCTGTGGAATTCTGGGAGTTGAAGTCCACATGCCTTAAAATTGTCAAGGTTGAGAAACACTGAATTAAACAGTCATTACCACCCTACATGGGAGGGAAGCATCAACAACCCAAACAGCAATTAGAGAGTGATCTGAAAATGACAAAGAAGTGATCGTCATATCCTTCACCTTCTGATCACGTTGCAGCTTCTTGGAGTTGTTGTTTTTTTTAAAAAGCAGGCCTAGCACCTGTGGGTGTTGGGCCCTGAGTAACTTAATCAGGTATATGGCTGTCATAAAGGTCATGAACCCGAGACATATCAGACATGAATCCAATTAAAGTCTCCAGTATTATCACTCTTGGGGATTCCACTGCCAGCTTACTGATGGATTCAAGCAGTTTGGTCAAGGATCTCACTGTGCAACAAGGAGGACATAATAGCAGCCTTTAGTCCAGGGGTAGGCAACCTTGGCCCCTTCATGACTCATGGACTTCAACTCCCAGAATTCCTGAGCCAGCATGGCTCAGCTTGGAAGCCTCTCCCTTTCCCCTCAGCAGGGCTGGCTCAGGAATTCTGGGAGTTGAAGTCCATAAGTCATAAAAGAGCCAAGGTTGCTCTTTTGCCCTAGGCCTAGGCCACTTTATGACTCATGGACTTCAACTCCCAGAATTCCTGAGCCAACATGGCTCAGCTTGGAAACCTCTCCCTCTCCCCTTTCCCCTCAGCAGGGCTGGCTCAGGAATTCTGGGAGTTGAAGTCCACAAGTCATAAAAGAGCCAAGGTTGCTCTTTTGCCCTAGGCCTAGGCCACTTTATGACTCATGGACTTCAACTCCCAGAATTCCAGAGCCAACATGGCTCAGCTTGGAAACCTCTCCCTTTCCCCTCAGCATGGCTGGCCCAGGAATTCTGGGAGTTGAAGTCATAAAAGAGCCAAGGTTGCCTACCCCTGCGCTAGTCAAATAGTTCCCTGGAACCCAACTTTAGCCCCAGGATCTTACATCCAGTTAGCTGCACTGTAAAGCTTCCGAAACTTCCTAGATGACAAATTGCCACCCTATCCCTGGGATCACACCTGGGGCCAAGCCCCAAACCCACTGGGTATGTCTCAGAGAGGAAAAAACCCCTCCAAGCCATCTGAGTGTTTGATATACATGCCAGGTCAGCCACTTTACCCACAATAACATAATGGATAAGAAAGCCTCTGTTACATATCCAGACATTTAACAGCATTGGGTATTATTTAAGCTATAGTCCTACAGAAGATGCACGCATACTCACCAACATTACATTAGATTGTTGGGTGTGACTTATGAACTCTCTCCCTCTGGACTGGAGGAGAAATGCACATCTGTGGAAGGAGGGGTAAGGAAGAAGATGGAGAAAAGGTTAGTTGTAAATATTGTTTGTTTCTTAATATAAAAAGTGATCTTCCATTGGATCCATCTGTAGAGATTCTATGGCAAATCTAGACAGCATACTAAAAAGCAGAGACATCACCCTGCCAACAAAAGTGTGTATAGTCCAGGTCATGGTTTTCCCACTTGCAATGTATGGCTGTGAAAGTTGGACCATAAGAAAGGCTGAGTGTCTAGGAATTGAGGCCTTTGAATTATGGTGATGGAGAAGACTTCTACGAGTCCCCTGGACTGCAAGGCGATCAAACCGGTCAGTCCTAGAGGAGATCAACCCCGACTGCTCTTTAGAAGACCAGATGCTGAAGTTGAAACTCAAGTACTTTGGCCACCTAAGGAGAAGGAAGGACTCACTGGAGAAGAGCCTCATGCTGGGAAAGATTGAGAGCAATAGAAGAAGGGGATGACAGAGAAGGAGGTGGCTGGATGGAGTCACTGAAGCAGTAGGCATGAGCTTAAATGGACTTCAGAAGATGGTAGAGGACAGGAAGGCCTGGAGGAACATTGTCCATGGGGTCGTGATGGATCGGACATGACTTTGGAACTAACAACAACATGGAGATTCTGTCATCCAGGTCATGGCTGTCCCAAAGGTGCTTTCCCAAAAGGCAACTGGTCTTTCTCGGAGGTTTTTTTCCTTAAAAACATTTTGCTTCTCATCCAAGAAGCTTCTTCAGTTTTAACTGAATGATGGGGAATGGCCATGGCTGACACAATCTTTCAGTCCAAGGAGAGAGAGCTTCCCCCTCCCTATTATCAGTAACATCCAAGAGATAATTTGAACATCAGGGTCAAAAAAAACCTGCCCATGCCAGTTCCTACAAGACATGGAGGATGGAAGAAAAAAATTGCACATCAGAATTTATCACCTTGGAAACCACCTAGCATGCTCTATCCAGGGGTCATCTCCTTGTTCCCAGTTCCTCAGTGTACCATCACAGTAGAAACACCGCACATGATCTTGCTGGCCTGAAAACATCCATGACAGAAGATCACATGTTGGTCAAGAGCAACAGAACCAAACAAAAAAACATTGCTAGATGCTTGGAGATGCCAGGACCCCCCCCCCCTCAGAATTAAAGCTATTATGGCAGGGACCACTGCTACAGCTTTTGATGGATATGATTTTTCTGGATAGGTCCAGTAAAAGTAACAAGCAAATGAAATCAAGAACTAGTACAGAATTCAGGGGATCCACTCAAAGTCCTCCTTATTTTATATTCATCAAGGGGTGACAAGGCCAGGTTGACTCTTCACTCAGGACAACAGAAGCCTACTGCCTATACCAGGGGTGGGAATGATGGTCTCTTTTATGACCTGTGAACTTCAAGTTGAAGTCCACAAGTCATAAAAGGCCCATCGTCTCCCACCCCTAGCCTAGACAGTCGTGCAGAATTAAAACTTTCCAAAATGGAAATGGTGGGGAAAGAGCACAGAAGTAAGCCAGACAGATTGAATTCCCTTCCCAGTGCACTAAAGCCTGAATTGTCCCCCATTTTAGTTTGAGATTTCAAGAGCCATTTAGAAGCCTGCACACCATTATCAAACCGTTTCACCTAAGCCAGGGGCAGGCAACCTTGGCTCTTTTATGACTCGTGGACTTCAACTCCCAGAATTCCTGAGCCAGCCATGCTGAGGGGAAAGGGAGAGGTTTCCAAGCTGAGCCATGCTGGCTCAGGAATTCTGGGAGTTGAAGTCCATGAGTCATAAAAGAGCCAAGGTTGCCTACCCCTGCCCAAATGCCTGAATTTTGATCACGTGACTGTGAGGAAAAAATATTTAAATATTTAAACCAGGGGTCTTCAAACTTGGCTCTTTTATGACTCGTGGACTTCAACTACCAGAATTCCTGAGCCAGCCACGCTGAGGGGACAGGGAGAGGTTTCCAAGCTGAGCCATGCTGGCTCAAGAATTCTGGGAGTTGAAGTCCACGAGTCATAAATGTTATGTCCTGAGCCTTGCAAGCAGGCTCGGGGCATTGCAGGCGGTCCCGGGCAGGTGCAAGCTGCCCGGGACCAGACAGGCTGTTGCCAGTGCTTGTGCGCATGCGCAAGTACTGGCACGCGAAAAGTAACACGTTGACCCGGGAAAGTCCTATAAAAGGAGGCCGCGAGTTTTGGGCTTTTGCCGCCATATTCCAATGTAAGCTGAACTGAAGAATAAAGGTTTCCTGAGAACTACAACTGCTTCTCGTGTCTTACCATTTCGCGACGGACTCAACAATAAAAGAGCCAAGGTTGCCTACCCCTGACCTAAGCGTTCAAGCAGGTTAGGGGAAATTCCGCAGCCGTGAACTCGCTTCCACAGAAAAATCCTTCTTGCCTTTCTAGCAAGCAGGGCAAGCTATGTTATTGTCCACTGCCCAGAGTCCCTTGTCGAAATGGGCAACTTTACAAATGGAGTATTCAGCTCTACTTCTGCAGCTCTGGCTGTGTGTTATTGCTTGCCTCCAGAAATCGTGGGCCCTCCATCACTGGAGACTTTTAAGAAGAAGCTAGACCAGGAGTAGGCAACCTTGGCTCTTTTATGACTTGTGGACTTCAATTCCCAGAATTCCTGAGCCAGCATGGCTCAGCTTGGAAACCTCTCCCTTTCCCCTCAGCATGGCTGGCTCAGGAATTCTGGGAGTTGAAGTCCATGAGTCATAAAAAAGCCAAGGTTGCCTACCCCTGGGCTAGACAGTCACTTGTCTAAAATGTTATAGGTTCTCCTGCTTAAGCAGGGGGCTGGACTAGAAGACCTCCAAGGTCCCTTTCAGATCTATTCTATTCTAAATACTTAGAATGGGGAGAGCTATTGCTCTCCTCTGGAAGAAAGGATTCTTGAAAGTGTGTATAGGTAGTCTTTGCCTTACAACCATTTATTTAGTGACCATTCAAAGTTACAGCACTGAAAAAAGCAACTTATGACTGTTTTTTCACACTTGCCACCGTCATAGCATCCCCAGGCTCACGTGATCGTAATTCAACTGCTTGGCAATTGGCTCATATTTACGACGGTCATAGTGTCCCTGGATCCTGTGACTTTCTGACAAGCAAAGTCAATGGGGAAGCCAGTTTCACGTTAACAACCCTGTTACTAACAACTGATTTCACTTAACTGTGGCAAGGTCGTAAAATGGGGCAAAACTCACTTAACATCCTGCTTAGTAACAGAAATGTTGGTGTCAGCTGTAGTCATAAGTCGAGCACTACTTGTTAAAGTCTCCATAGCTTAGGCTCAAAGTACCCAAAATTCCCATACACACACACACACACACACACATATTGCACACTACACACTTTGTTCTTTTACCATTTGTAGGCTGCTGTAGATGCATCTAACAGCTGTAAATTCTCCTGTTTAATGGCAACACCTTTACTTCAGGGGTTCTCAACCTTGGCAACTTTAAGACTTGTGGACTTCAACTCCCAGAGTTCCTCAGCCAGCAAAGCTGGCTGAGGAATTCTGGGAGTTGAAGTCCACAAGTCTTAAAGTTACCAAGGTTGAGAACCCCTGCCAGTGTAAACTGACTGGAATTGAGAGAGGTCTCCTCTTTATAGTAGCATTAAAGGGGTTCACATGTTTTATTTTTACCCAGTTCAGACAAAAGGAGGGAACATTTTATGCTCCTGGGAGATACTGAAGATTTGAGAAGTGTAGTAACTATGTTGTTTAGAGCAGGGGTCCCCAACCTGGGCCACTTTAAGACCTGTGGACTTCCACTCCCAGAATTCCTGGCTGGGGAATTCTGGGAGTTGAAGTCCACAGGTCTTAAAGTGGCCAAGATAGGGGGACCCCTGGTTTAGAGACAGCGTTTCCTGGCCAAAGCTTCCATAGCTTGCAACAAATTATTAAACAAACTATACGGAATAAAATGATTCTAGATTTAAGGAAACCAAATTACACATTCCAGGTCTTACGCCTCTTCCTTCGACAGCCAGGTTAATTGAGTGGTTAAAGTGCCAGACCAGAAACTAGAAGATTGTGCATTCTTGACCTGTTTTAGGCACAAAAACTGACTGGGGGACTTTTGTACCAGTTATCCTTAACCCAGTCCACTTCACAGGGTTGGTGCTGTGAGTAAAGAGGAGGCGGGAACATTAGTTATGCCTCCCTGAGTTACACAAAATTGACATTTAATTTCTATAATAAAGGCAGAATAGAGCCAATTTGGTCCAGTGGTTAAGGCAGCAGGCTAGAAAGTAGGAGTGTGTTCAAGTCCCACCAACTAGGTGGCTTTGAGCCAATCCTTATTTCAGCCCATCCCACCTCACAGGGTTCTTCTTGTGGGGAAAATCGGAGGAGAAAGTTATGTTAAATATATTCATCACCTTGAATTATTTGTAAAATATATATATATATATATATATATATATAAAGGTGGGATACAAATAAATAATACAGAAATACAAAATAGACTTAAGGCCACCAGTTTCACGAGATAGGTGTAGGCTTCCAGGAATAACAAGCCATACATTAATGTAGATGGAACCTGGGTCTTGCCCAGCAAAAGCAATTCTCATTTCCTCACATACCTGTATAGAAAAAGCCAGCTCTGGCCAACAATTCAGGAGACACCGGAGAATAAGATGGCCAATTTTCAAACGACACCAACCGATCTCCTTCTGTCTCCATGTAGGGGTATTCTGGCTGGCCACCTACAGGGTTCTCCTCCACATTTAAACTTTGCAGCATGCCAAGGAATTGGCCATCTACACAGTCCAGGTGTTCTTCGCTCCAAGGCACCTGTGGGCAATTTCCTACGATTTTCTCCTGGATATACAGGCACGATGGGAAGAATTTCTTGTGCTCTACCATAGGATCCTCTTCAGCTACCCAATTATACAACGACCCGCCACAGCAGAAACACTGGACAGTGTCAGCAGGACCGACAAAATAAAAACCAGCAGCTGCCAGTTCAGCTGGAGAAACAGGAACGCTCGCGGGCCAGAGCTGAAATGTCTGAAGGCGCTTTATCTCCGACTTCATGCTGGATCTTGACCAACGCCACGAGGTCCACTGCGTGTCCTCTGAAGACGAGCTGCTTCCCTCATCCTGGGTTTCCTCTGGAAAAAAGCTATCTCCCATTTCCCAGCTGCTGGACAGGAGACAAGTCAAAACATCAGCAACAAGCTGGACACCCGAGGCAATGAAGTGTTTTGACACCGTATCAGCCTGCATCTCTAATCACTCTGTGACTCTACCAGCTGTAAATGCTAGAAAACTCTGAAAGAGGCCAAATAGATTTCTGAACAGCAGATGCAAAAAGGATGCTGGATTTTCTAGAGTGTGCTGATTTGTTGGGCTTGGGACAATGACTGCCCTTCTGCCCAGTTCTTCTTGGGCCTGGAGAGGGAAGGAAGAAAAAGAGAAGTTTTAAAAATCAAGCATAAAATCAATTTCCGAGTGGGTACCTTTGGAGACAAATTCACCATCTTCAAAAGTAACAGAGAAACTTATCATAAAGAACCCATTTTTAGACTTTCCATTCTTCGTGCACATAGTTAATTCCAGGCAGAAAAAAAAGGACAGTCACTGGGTGAGTCATTTCCTGAGTAATCATGCTTAGCGGTTATTCCATTTATAAAAGCATGAAATGTACAGAACAGTTTAGAAAGTATTGCCATTGAATATTTCAGCTCCAATCCACTCTGGTTCCACATGCCAAAAGAAAAAGGTAGGGGAAAGCACCCCATCCCTATTTAAAGAAATGTGCTTTTTGACAGACAATCCACAATATCATGGTTAATAATGCAACACACCTAAAACAGCTACACTAATGACAAATATTTTTTGTATTGATGGCAAGATTGTAGAGCTACATCCATTTAATGAATAGCAGTCAGACTCAACACATTTTTTTTTAAATTTTACCTCATACAAAAAATAAATCTGATAACAAGGCCATCACCTTCAAAAAACAGAATCCAAAATATTCCTTCCATTGCCTAAAAACATATGCTGCAACAAGCCATAGCTTGTGGTTTACCAAATAAACCACAATTTACATAGAGGAATTGTATTTCAATAAATTATTAAGTCTAGCGTGGATTGGCTTAAGTTTGCTTGTCTTATAAACTAGTTAAGCTCATTGTACAAAGCTAGCCAATTGTATCTTGTGAAACAAAATGCACAGTAGCACAAGATGTAAATTATCTCAAGAAAAAAAACAAACCCACATGGAAGCTAAGTGTGTAGCAGCCTATGGAACAAGCGAACTATGTCTCAATCTTAAAACCAGCAACACAAATAATTCAGAACATAGTGCTATTATTCTTGTACTTACCTAACTGGAACTGAACGTACAAACAAAATAACAACCAAACCTTCTTCAGCCACAAACTAGAAACACAACTACTAGAACACTGTCTTCTCACTGCCTTTAAGTTCTTAACCCCACCCTGGTAATTACTTAACTCGTATAACCAATGAGCTATTTAAAGCTGCAACCACTTTTCAGCCTGATTTATAGATATTATGCTGTGTTTAGAGGTTAGAGCAGCGGTTCTCAACCTATGGGTCGCGACCCCATTTGGGGTCGATCGACCATTTTACGGGGGTCGCCAAACAATGCGATCCGCCATTTTCCCCCCTCAGGGGGCGCCGCCGCGCATGCGCGCCGCACATGGGGCGCCACCGTGCATGCTCATTGCACATGGGGTGCCGCCGCACACACACGATGCGCATGGGGCGCTGCGCATGTGCGGCACGTTTATGTGACGGGGGTCGCCGTCACACAAACGTTGAGAAACGCTGGGTTAGAGTAATCAAATAGCTACCTTAATTCTGCCATAGAATTTATGTTGTTCTAATCTTGCTTAACTCAATGTAGCCACTCTGAAATGGCCCCAGTATGAAAGGGAAATAGATGACAATATATTGTTAAATAACTCTGTATTTCTGTTGCTGAATTACTGCTTCAAAAATTGATCTTTCATTTGTCAAATGCTGAATTTAGTTCCGTTCCCCAGTCAAAGGCCAACGTTCATTTGAAGTGAGGGAACAGCAGCAAATGACATATAATAAAGGGCCAGTGGAAGAAATCTTAGCCAATCAAGATGCACAAACTCAAGGAGCAACTCATTATCTATTGCCCAAATAATTCATGATATCAAGTCAGGTGCCAAATATCTTGTTATGGATATTTTGTTATGTTTGTCCTGGATATTTTGTCAGTTTTGTATAATGAAAGCATTTTGTCTCTAAGCGTAACTTGGGCCAAGAGGCGAGTATTTTGCAGCGTAAAATGATTTTGACATAAAGGACAGAGTATACTATGACTATTTTCCAGAGTATATTATGACTATTTTCAGGATACTTTTAGAAACTGTACAACTAGTATTTGCTTACTAAATAAGATTAAAAAGAACACCAAAGCTATGCCTGACTGAAGGGTCTAGCACAGTGGTGGCGAACCTATGGCACGGGTGCCAGAGGCGGCACTCAGAGCCCTCTCTGTGGGCACGCACGCCGTCACCCCAGTCCTAGGCCTTCAGCTGGGTTTTATAAAATCTTTTCGCTTTAGGCCTCCGCCACTGTGCAAAAAAAAAAAAAAAGGTTCAATCATTCAATCCATTTCAACTTCTTGTGGGAAAAAAAAAGATCTTGCAAAATTGGAATTGATTGAATTTTTTAGTCCCATCCAGTCTGCCTTACCATCGCAGCCACACCCACCCAATGGGCCACGCCCACCCACTGGGCCACGCCCACCCGGCACTCAACGATGCATAAGTGGGTTTTGGATTGCAGTTTGGGCACTCAGTCTCTAAAAGGTTTGCCATCACTGGTCTAGCAGCTAGCTCAAACCTCAGAACATTGGCAGCTAGTCATAACTTTCTTTCCACAAGTATTGGTTTAGTACAAAAATATCAAGGACTTTTTTCCTCCTACCGTACTAGAATCCTTCCTAAAATATTTGCTGATGTTGCTCTACATTGTCTGATCTGCTCATGTCACACATCGACAAGAGTAGGCCAGGTTACAACAATGCAATACAGCTAGTCCTTGGCTTACAGTTCAGTTGAGCCCCAAATTTCCATTGCTAAGCAAGACAGTTGAGTTTTACCCCATTTTATGATTTTTCTTGCCACCGTTAAGTGAATCACTACAGTTGTTCAATCAGTAAGATGGTTGTAAAGTGAATCTGGCACCCCGACTTTGCTTGTCAGGTTGCAAAAGGTGATCACATGACCCTGGGACACTGCAGCCATCATAAATGCATGTCAGTTACCAAGCGGCCAAATTTTGATCATACGACCATGGGGACGCTGCGAAAGCCATGTGAAAAACTGTCATATGTCACTTTTTTAAGAATAGAATAGAATGGAATGGAATACGGAATGGAATATGGAATGGAATGGAATGGAATGGAATAGAATAGAATAGAATAGAATAGAATAGAATAGAATAGAATAGAATAGAATAGAATAGAACAGACCTTGGAGGTCTTCTAGTCCAGCCCCCAGCTCAAGGAGAACCTATACCACTTCAGACAAGTGACTATCTAGTCCAGTGATGGTGAACCTTTTAGAGACCGAGTGCCCAAAAACCACCCCCCACTGCATCCCTGCTCTGCAGAGCCCTCTCTGTTGGCATGCGTGCCACTGCCGCCTGGAGCAGGAGCCCTGCCCAGCACAAAGGAGGTGAAGCGGCCGACTAGCAAGCTTGAGTAGAGGTGGTAGAGCAGAGGTCACCAACCATTGTCGATTGGCGGACTGGAAGAAAAGGGAGGAGGAAGCATTTTACATGCGTGCATGCACGCATGGGGCCGTGTGCACGCACGTGCTGCAAATGGGGCGGGGCTAGTGCTTGCATGATACTTTAGCCCTGCCCCATTCTTGCGTGGTGCAGTGCCTTGTATCTGCACCCCGTGGCGTGGCAGCGGCCGTTTTTGCGCCTTGCAGCACGGTGGCCCATTTTTGCGCGCCCAGTTTTTGCATGCCAGAGGCAGCACTCAGATGCACCTCCCTACCCCCACCTGAGGGCACCACAATGCTGATGCGGCCCTGGCACTTTGCGATAAATAAGTGGGTTTTGGGTTGTGGTTTGGGCACTCGGTCTCTAAAAGGTTTGCCATCACTGCAATAGGTCTTTTTAACCCAGCAGGATATAATAAGGCTTCTGTGAATTAATTGTACATATAGAGAAAAAGCATATATTGCTTTGGCTGAAATTGTACATATAGAGAAAAAGCATATATTGCAACTCTCCTTGGAGTAACTAACTCTAGATTCAACAGCAACTCACTATTGAGTTATACATCTAAACTACCTTCCATTTTCCTGTCATTCACTGCACATGTTAAAACTATGTTCATATCCAACAGATGACAAGGCCAAACATTTTGGAGGATTAGGATAGTCCTGTACATATTATCAGCACTTCTGCGTGAAGTAACCTGATGCTCTAAGATGCCTTGGAATCAGAAACATCTCTTGGCTTGTTCAATTTATTTGCTGAACTGTGATCCCCCAATTAATGTGCAGATTTAGCCTATTAAGTTTAACCGAGTGAACCAGGGTTTTTCAAACTATTGCTTTGGGCCAGCGTGTTGGTGATCATGTGATCAGCATTTGTAATCTTCCCAGCCAGCTTCTGACAAGCAGGGTCAGTTGGAAAAGCTGGATTCACTTAATGACCATGATTCACTTAACTATGGCAAAAAAGTTCATAAAATGGGGCAAAACTCACTTAGCAATGGAAATGTTGGGCTCAGTTGTGGTTGTAAGTTGAGGACTACATGTAATTGGCCTCTGAAGATAGTTTTTTTTTGAAAATTTCCCCCCATATTCCCATTACCCTCCCTACACCTGTGATGTGTTTTGCAGTCTACCTATCTTTATCCCAAAGTATTTTTGATTGGGTTCATGCAGCATGCTGGGCTATAAAGTGGTTTGGTGTACAGTATTTGTACATTGTGGTTACTGCAGCGTGTATTGGGCTTAGCAAATTCAGCCAACCCTTTTCAATAAATCAAGATTTTGCTTCAGGTGTAAGTCCAATCACACATGCTGAACCCTGCAACTTTTGGATTCGGACTTATTTGACCACCTGGATCCAGCTGTCAGTGTGATAGCAAGGTGAATGGTAGCTTTAGCATTAGCTTTTGACTCAAGTTGTGGTTGATTGTGAACCATGATTAAGCAAACCATACTTTAGTACAAGGTATTGTTGTGTTTATTATATTCAGTAGAACCCAGAACAAAATTTATGATTATGTTCATTAGGGAACTCATTAATGTTCTTCAGAAGAGGATGTTACTCGATCCCAATAATCCAGAGTTACACAAACCATGGTTTGGGCTCTTTGTGTGAACTCAACCACCGCCTGTTCCTCCTTAATAAGGCCTAGCTCCTCGGGGCTAGAGAAGCCCTGAAGTTCAACAGGTAGCATTTGGCCGCATGTCCGGGACACACCTGCTGAACGTCTACCTGCCACGCGACAATCTAAAACGAAGCAGCCTCATGAGGAAAAGCGGCTATTCCCTACGCCCATCCTCAAAAGAACGTGGGAGTTAGACTTTGGGGGGGGCTATTTTGGGAGATAGAGATCGGCCATGATATTCCCCCCCCTCAGCTTTTCTGTCTTTCCGATTGGCTCCGACTCTTTCCTGATCCCACCCATTGGCCTGCCAATCACCCGTCTTTCACGGAGGATTGGGCGGGAACTTAAAAACTAAGCAAACCAAAGGCGGGGCGGCGTTAGACACCCCTTGGCGCAACGGCCGTCTCGCTCATGCGCATGCCCGGCAGGTGATGCCTTCCTCTCCCCCTCCCTCTCCGCCGGCGAGCGCGCGGTGGCCCTTTGCTTCCCCCCCTTCCCGGCATGCTCCGCGCAGCCGAGGCGTTGACGTCATCGGAGCCCGGTCTCCGCCGCCATTGGAGTTCGAAGGCTCCTCCGGCTGCCCGAGAGTCTCCTTTGCCTTCTGGCCTCTCCGTTTTTCAAGGGAAGGAGAGGGAGGAAGCGGCGGCGGCAGGGATTCCAGAAGGCTCGAGGCCAAGAGCCGGGGAAGCGAGAGGAAGGACCGGCGAGCGCGCAACAGCAGCGGCGGCGGCGGGCCTTTTTTCTCCCCCCCCCTCCATCTCTCCTTGTGTGTGTGGAGGCGAACGATGTGAGGGAAGAAACGAGCGCGCGCACGGACGAGCCAGCGCGCGTGCGCGCGGCCCTCTCCCCTCCTTCCCTTGACCTAACCCCCCCCGCTCCCCTTTCTCACTCCCCCTCCCACGCACCTCGCGCGTGCGCGTAGGCCTCTTTTTGGAGGGTGGGAGGAGCGGGGGAGGGAGCGCGCGGGCGCTCGTGCCTCGCCCCGCCCCTCCACTCCCCTTCCCACCTCCCAGCCCCCCTCCCCTTTATTTCAGGGCGCATGAGAGATGTCTGCCACTAGCGTTGACCCCCAGGTAAGTCGATCGGAGGGGGGGGGGGAGAAGGAAGGCCAGGCCGCATCCTCCTTTTTCCAGCTCCCCTTCTCTTTCTTCCCCCCCCGCCCCCCCAGACTCGTCTCCAGCTCTGCCTTCCTGGCTCTCGACCAATCCTCCTTCGGGCACAACGCGCTTTTTCATGGATGCGGGGAATGCGCTCTTGCTTCCTCCCACCCGCCTTGATCGAAGCCAGGCTTCGCAAGGAAGGACGATGGGAGATGTAGTCCAACCCGTCCGGGGGAAGCAATGGACTCAGCCAGGGGTTCAAAGAAGAAGCCCTCTTTTTCTCTGCTCTTTGGCTTGGCTTTCCCGTCTCTCCTTCCCTCCCTCCTTCCTCCTTCCTTCCTTCAGGCCTTTGTTAAGTACGGGCCTTGGCCACTAAAAGGTGGCCCAGCCCCTATCTTCGATTTTTGGCTGCTGCTGGCTCTCCCGTGCAGAGCCGCCTTCGGGGCTGCTAGAGACTGCTTTGGAGGACTGCCTGGTGCTTTGAGGGCCCACTTAAATGTCAGAATATAAAAAAGAGGGGACGACCCTCCTTCAGAGCTCTTGAGTCCAAGAGAACCGGAATCAGCCACATCTTTCAGCCTACCTTGGATGGCGGATCTCAGTTTGGACTTGGGTTAGATCAGAGCACGCCATCCAAAGCCATTTTTAGATAGTTACTGAAGACCAGATCCCTGGATATTAAATTTCTGTATCCTGAACAGCTTTAAGCTACTATTTCCTCAGGAATGTTCTTGCTAGCTTCAGCTTCCTGTTTCTCTGCTAGGCCCTACTTTTATTTTCTTTGACTGTACTTGATATCAGTGAGTTGCTTCATGCTTCTATTTGAGCATCAATCCTTATGCGTAGGTTTAATAATTTTTCTATAATCATTCCTTCTTGTGTCAACTGTTCTGGTCTTCATAGGTAGAACCAGGCCATCCCACTTTCAGTTTTAAAGATCAATCTCATTCTAGGAGTTTGGCTTTTACATGGGAGTGAATATCCCCATCTAATTTTGTATCCCAAGAAGAATTAAAAAAATGAAAACTCACAAAAGCACTATTGCGCATAACTGCAAAAGTATGTCTTTGCTCTTATAATTGCCTGCTCTTGCTGTTTGTTTGTAGAATTTAAATAGTATTTTTTTATCATTCTACTAGTGCTGTAAAATAGATAAATAGTATTATTCACATGTTAAGGGATCTGAATCTGAGACATAATGGCTTACCTAAGGCTACATATATGTTACTTAAGTTTATTTCCCAGTCATTTCTTGCTTCTTTACATACTGCCCTTTCATTGTGCTGAGAGACATTTCTCAGGACTTTCTTGCACATTGGATAATATTTTAAGGCTTGGAGGGTTTGCTGCCTTTTCTAGCTCCTCCAAGAAGTCATTTCTTTTTCTTTTATATGTTTATCTGTTAACTTAAAATACATTTTAAGGATTTGTGAAAAGTTTTGAATTCAAACCCTTTTGGAAGTATTTCATGTTCAAAACAACTGCTCAAAACACTGCTTCAGATGCAAAAGAGATTTGGGCATTTCAGATTCAAAAGATATTGCATATCAATTGTGTACATGGTAATATTTATTTTGAAAAGCTACATGTTTTTTCTGTGGTCTGTGAATTTCTTACTCTCCATCCTTTTATTTCAAAGTACCAATATTTGCCTTTAAAAAAATACTGACTCCTTAATAATCATTATTGCATTATATTATTAATGCAATAACATGTGGCTATTGTTTGTTTTGAAACTCCTGAAAGGCCATGATACCTTATTAACTATTTGTAAGCGGATTTAGCGCAAATATTTTGGAGGTCATGTTATATTTAACCAAAGACATAACACTTGCAGAAAGTAAAGTTCAAGCCAGAGAAAATCTTGTGGTTGAGAATTACCTAAGTAATTGTCTCGAATACATAATACAGTATTGTATCACTGTTATACATTTTCAATAGCTAGTATGCTTTATTCTGGGATCTTAACAAATGACATTTGTTTTGTCTCTTTTATTGTACCTTGTGCTATGGCATGACAGAGAGCGAAAGGGCAGGATAATAAAGGTAAGACAAGTTCTGATCTTAAAGATAGATTTATCTGAATGTTTGCATGCAAATGTTTGGTTGTAAGCGATACATTAAAAAAATGAAAAGCCTGTGTTTTTGTTATTTCTTTATAACTCTGATGTTTATTCCTATATATAAATTCAGTCTTATAAGTATCTGTGCAGCTCACTGGATTTTTATCTAGGATTTCATCTTAAATCTTAAAATGTATTAATTTCTATGCTTTTCAGACTAAAAAGCTCACAAAGCAAGTTATAACAAACTTAAAACTTCAAAATTATTAAAACAATGTTCTCTGCAGGCTTTTGTTTCTTATACCGTTTCCTTTGTAAAAGTCAGAAAATTCTCTTCAGAAGAGTTTTTCCCCTTAAGAAAAATCAAAACTAAAAAGTAATAAATTTCCAAGAGGATGATAATTTTGTACTGCCAGTACAACCCCTGTCATTAGAACATTATGGGATTATAAATCATGAGACTTGACACATCATTCCTCTTTTTCCACTGAAGCTATTTTTACAGCACTTCTTCCAAAATTTGAACTTCTTTGGGAGTGCAAAGATGTAGAGATTATATCTGAAATAGCAATATTTGATGGGGGAGTTCACGAAAGATAATGGATTAATGGCAAAACTACCAATCCCGCTCAAAATGCTGTGAATTTGAATATAATTAGCACCTCTTATTCTTAGCAATAGCAAATTAATCCTGATGTTTTAGCATCAAAATGCAAAAATAAGGTAACAACATTTACATGTTCAAAGAAATGTTCCTTATTATGAAAGAGATTCTATAATGTGTTTACATTTATAGATAACAGGGAATTGTAACTTTTCAAGAATTTTTAGCCTTATGCATTTGTAGCATATACATCTACAGTCAGTTCTCAACTTACGACCACAATTGAGCCCAACATTCTGTTGCTAAGCAAAACAGTGGTTAAGTGAGTTTTGCCCCCTTTTGTGACCCGTCTTGCCATAGTTGTTAAGTGAACTTGGCTTCCCTGTTGACTTTGCTTATCAGAAGGTTGCAAAAGGGGATCACATGACCTCAGGACACTGTAACTGTCATAAATATGAACCAGGATCCAATCTGGGTTGGTTATCCGGTCCAGAGGTTTTGCCTTCCAAGCTTTTGGATTCGTGCTGGAGCCCATCTTCTTCAAAGACCACAGGGATGCTGCCACAGTCATAATTGTGAAAATGGTCATAACTCACTTTTTCAGTGCCATTATTAGCTTTGGTCACTAAATGAATGGTTGTAAGTCGAGGACTATCTGTATATAAATGTTCATGATCAATATAATATATATAACTCATACTTTTCTGATGATCACAGTCTACATATGCATTTCTATTAATGGCTGTCTGTTTTTTCTTTTCTTGGTTAGCACTTTCTGTATCGTTGCAGTGGAATTTCTGTATAATTTCTGTATATGTGTCTGTACATATGTAAATCTATTTAATTGCATTCCCATAACTGCCCGTCTCATATGATGACACTGGGTGGTATGCATAATACAGCAATAAAAATACATTAAAACTATTAAAACAACCAATTTAAATTAAAAAATGAAATGAAAGTTTTTTTAAAAAAAACACATTGCGGTTTTGGGTGAAATAAGAGCATGCCTTAGAACATATCTAGCATTCGTCTTCATTATTTATTATGACAATGTAGTCCATGATTGGCAACTTGTGTTTTGTAAAATCCTGTCTGTGCTAATGAATTATCACACTGAGGAACATGTAAAAAGCTTATTAGAGTGAAATTCAATGGGTTGCAGAAACCACCACAAGTTACTAAATACTATTAGTGAGATGCATAAGCAAAGAAGTATGCTTATTTAGATCAATCTAACTTGCCACTAACAAATGCTATACTGAATTCATGTTATACCTTCAAGGGTTGAGCTTTATAAAGGCCATTCATTCAGTATGTTATTGATCTTTTTCTGGCATGTCTTGCTGACTTGGAGGCCTCCCAGATTTGTCTTCCTGCTTACACTAAATGCTTCAGCTTTCCTTTTGTGGACAAGTATATTTTAATTCCGTTCTATGAGTCCTTACTCTTGATCTTAACAAAACTGTGTTGCTGGTTGTTGAAAAACCTGTTTGTGAGGTATTCAGTAACTGTCATTTAGATAGTTTTATAAAGAACAATGATATCTTGAGGGCATGTGGAAGTGTTTTTCATCATGTTGAAATCTGACCTTTTCCCCTTCTCTAAATAGATAATGCTGTGGAATAAACACAGTTCTATTTGTGTATGCTGTCATGCTTTAGAAAACAGATCTTTATCGAAACTTCAAAGTATGCATGTTATAATTGCAGCTCTTTTGTTTCAGTGCAAAATGGTTCTCTTCATCAGAAGGATACAGTGCATGACAATGATTTTGAGCCTTATCTTTCTGGACAGTCAAATCAGGTTAGTCTATGTCTGAAAAGTGATTGGATTTTTTAAAAGGGATTTTAAGCATATGTCAGTTGGAAGCAATGAAATTTATTTAAAAGGAAATTTTTTCTAGCACAGATACAATCAAAGGCACTTATAATTCATATACTTGTAGTTTAATTCATAGTATTCTCATTGAATTTCTAATAATACTGGCTTAAGTAAACCCACATTAGCCCTGAATGTTATGACTTCTTTATACAGTACTCATTTTGCAAAGTAAAACTATTTTCTTGTGGGTTAAAATTGTTAGAATATTAAATTGAATTGATTCGATTGGGCTTAAATTGATATTTCCAATTTTTATTAAATTATGTATTATAAAGAAGTATTTTTCTACTCTAATCCAGCTTCAGGACTTCCTATTTCAAATTGTATTGATTTACTTATCGATCATATTTATATGGCCACCCACTTCATGAAAAACTTGACTCTGGGCAGCCTACAATAAAAACCATAAAACGGTACAGATAACACAAAATTAAAAATTGTTATTCAAAGGTTAAAAAAGAGCAGCAGATATTAACAACAATGGAACCTCACCAGTCCCTTCAGGCCCCCAGGCCTGATGACACAACCAGGTTTATGGCATGGAGCTGTGATATTCCATAAGGTGGGCACCATTGCAGAAAAGGCCCACCTCTTTGAGTTCCGCCAAATTTACCTCTTTGGCAGATGGCATTTATAATATGCCTCTTCTGCCAGATGTGATAGGTTCTTCTTATTGATAAGAACTCTGTATTTTTATCGTGTATCTTGCCTTATGGCTGACTTCTACATTTGCTGTAGTCAGTAATTGACTAAAATGGGCTTCAGTTTCACAGAATGGGTTAACATCATTCAAATAATTTTGAAAGATTTGAGTGTGTACACCAATTCGAAGGATATACTAGTCTTCTGAAAAATTAATGTGTAGTCAATAGTGATAGAGCAGCATCCACTCACAGAATAAATAAATTCCATGTACTGCTCTGGTGTAGGTTAGGCCAATCCTCTAAAGCATATACAAGGGCATTGTACTAGGGAACATTTCAAGCTGTAGAAAAAGGTAAACAGAAATGATGAACTTTCAGAGACGTTAAGTGAACGTAGCACTGGCTACATGATATAATATGAAGATTCCTGGTTCATATGGTGCAGAGTTTGAAAACAAAGTGAAAGTTTGATGAGCGTTGACAGAAAATGAACCAATGTAGCATGCAAAAAAGGTAGATTTGCAGAAAATATTGAGAAAAAAAATGATGCTGCTGCATCAGCCTAGAAATGAACTGAACTGGAATCACTAAGTCACAGGTCGGCAACCTGCGGCTCCGGAGCCGCATGCGGCTCTTTGAGCCTTCCCCTGTTGCTCCCAGCCTCCTCTGCCTTTGCAGAGAGAGACAGAGACAGAGAGAGGAATTGCGCTTCCCTGCTTCTCTCTCTCTCTCTCTCTCTCTCTCTCTCTCTGTGTGTGTGTGTGTGTGTGTGTGGTTTTGTGTAAAAGAGAGTGCACTCACAGTATTCTCCGAGGAGCTGAAAAGCTTACTGGGCGGAGCTCCTCCCTTTGCTGCGTCTCTGCAGGAAGCAGGAAGCAGGAAGGGCAGGAGAGAGCTAGCTAGCCCAGCTAGGCTGACTCAGGAATTCTGGGAGTTGAAGTCCATGAGTCATAAAAGAGACGAGGTTGCTTGTTGGACAATAGCTTGAAGCTTGCCAGGTGAGCAGCAGATAGGAGGGGGGGGGGAGAAAGAGAGAGAGAGGGAGGGACAGAGAGAGAGAAAGAAAGAGAGCGGGGGAAGAGGAGTGGAGACCAAGGGCAGATAGAGAGGGAGGGAGAGAGAGACAGAGAGAGAGAGAGACCCTTTTGACATCTAAAATGAAGATAACACTGCATATATCCTTTTTTTACCTGTGTGTGTGTATGTGTGTGTGTGTATATATATATATATATATATACACACATACATACATATATACATATACATATATACACACACATACATACACACAAACACACACACACAAACACACACACACCTATAATAAAGGTAAAAAAGGATATATGCAGTGTTATCTTCATTTTAGATATCAAAAGGGTTTTGCGGCTCCCAGTGTTTTGTTTTTGGTGGGAAACGGGTCCAAGTGGCTCTTTAAGTGTTTTGGGTTGCCTACCCCTCCACTAAGTAGAAGGATATTTTCAAAAATAGCTAGCAGAATGGACAGTTAAGCAATGTAATTTTAAATAGGTAAGTTGAATCAAGAATGAGTGTGGAATGTAAAGAAAATTAATGATTATGCGCACAAACAAAACGGGAAACAAAGAGACAATGTAGTAACAATGATTTTGAAAGGCCAGAATTCGTATAATTATGGGAAAATCAGTAACACGACAGATTAATGAATAAAATGTGTAACTTTTATTATATTCCTTAATTTGGGGTAGATGAGAACACTCTCTGGAGTCTGCATTTAGTCCTCAGGTGTTTTTTTTAAAAATGCATAATTTGTACAGAGGAATCTACCTTGTTTCAAATCACTACATGCTTCGGTCAAAGAATCTACAAATATTTGATTTTACCAAGGTTTAATATAACGGCATAATCATATGTTGTTTGAGAGCAGTTCAAAAGCAGTCAGATTAATTTAGCTCTAGCATTATAATATTAGTGTACTGTGAAAGAAGTTTAAAAATAACTTCTCACTTATCCAAACTGCATATTTTCGAACAAAACATGTCTATCAAATTGCTCTGTGTCTTGTGATTAATCCTTGAAGCAGTTGGTGAGAAACCATATGAATGAATTGCCCTGCCTTAACTTTGAAAGGGTTAAGAAGCAAGAGAACGTTTTCAAGTTTAAGGCCTTTGCAGTCGTTTATCAATAAAAGAGAATATTTGTAGCTCAGGATTGAACTCTGGGGTCCTTGGTGCTTTCTGTGCTTGGTGGTTTTCTTAGGGACGTTTTCATTACCGAAGTAGGTAACATCCTCAGCGCAAACCCCACTGCCTTCTAGCACTGACGATGTTATCTAGTTTGGTCTCTTAGAAAACCACCAAGCTCAGAGAAAACCCAAGAACCTCACAGTCTTTTATACTGTAGAGTGGATTTGAACTTTCCTGACTATTTTTCTAGTTTAAATAATGTTGTAATAAACTGCTCAATCTGAAATTGCTGTTTTTGTCATTTAACAGAGCAACAGCTATCCATCAATGACTGATCCCTACCTGTCCAGTTATTATCCACCTTCTATTAGCTTTCCCTACTCTCTGAGTGAAGCCCCCTGGTCAACCGGAGGAGACCCTCCTATCCCATACCTTACCACCTATGGACAGCTGAGTAACGGCGATCACCACTTCATGCACGATGCTGTGTTCGGACAGCCTGGCGGATTGGGGAACAACATTTACCCACACCGGTTTAATTTTTTCCCCGAAAACCCTCCTTTCTCAGCATGGGGAACGAGCGGCTCTCAGGGGCAGCAGACCCAGAACTCGGCTTATGGAAGCAGCTACAGTTACCCACCCAGCTCCCTCGGGGGTACCATCGTGGACGGGCAGACTGGATTTCATAACGATACCTTAAATAAAGCACCCGGGATGAATAGCATTGAACAGGGAATGGTCGGACTGAAGATTGGGGACGTCAACACCTCCGCTGTGAAAACAGTAGGCTCGGTGGTCAACAGCGTCGGGATGGCGAATGCGTTGTCTGGCAACAGTGGATCAAACCTCAACCTGCCCGTGTCGAAGCCAACCTCTTGGGCCGCTATTGCTAGCAAACCTGCGAAGCCTCAGCCCAAAATGAAAGCGAAAAGCGGTCCTGTAATAGGAGGAGCTCTGCCTCCACCGCCTATTAAACATAACATGGACATAGGTACTTGGGACAATAAAGGCCCCATGCCCAAAATCCCAACTCCTCAACAGCAGATGCCTTCTCCTCAGTCTATCCCGCAGCCACAGATTATCCAGCCTATTCCCGCCCAGCCACCCCCACTGACCCAGCTGCCCTACCAGAACCCTCAGCCGCCGCCCCCTCAAAACCGATGGGTGGCCCCTCGCAACCGCAATGCAGCTTTTGGCCAAAGCGTAGGAACCAGTAACGAAAGCAACCCGCCCGGGAATACCCCAGCGAACGCCATCCCTGGCGGCGGTGGCGAATCCCACCCTGTCCTTGAAAAACTGAAAGCCGCTCACAGTTACAACCCTAAGGATTTTGAGTGGAACCTCAGAAATGGGCGCGTGTTCATCATCAAGAGTTACTCGGAGGACGATATCCACCGTTCCATCAAGTACTCCATTTGGTGTAGCACAGAGCACGGCAACAAACGTTTGGACAGCGCTTTCCGCTCTATGAATAGTAAAGGCCCGGTCTATTTACTCTTCAGCGTCAACGGCAGCGGACATTTTTGTGGGGTAGCAGAAATGAAGTCGTCGGTGGACTACGGCACCAGTGCCGGTGTCTGGTCCCAGGACAAATGGAAGGGGAAGTTTGACGTCAAGTGGATCTTTGTGAAAGATGTTCCCAACAACCAGCTTCGACACATCAGGCTGGAGAACAATGACAACAAGCCAGTGACAAACTCCCGTGACACTCAGGAGGTGCCCTTAGAAAAAGCGAAGCAAGTGCTTAAAATTATTGCTATGTACAAGCACACAACCTCCATCTTTGATGACTTTTCCCATTACGAAAAGCGCCAGGAGGAGGAAGAAGTGGTACGAAAGGTAAACTGGCTTTAGAACATTTTAATTCAGTTGGGGGAAGTCCACCCTGGAGGTGAATGGGAATTGAGTGTTTGCAAAGGGACTTTAAAAAAACAAAAAACAAAAAACTTATTTCGAAGATAGATATTGCGCATTCTTCAGATTTAACCCACAAGGCTTCAACCCTACAGCTTTTTTTTTTTTTTCAATCTGCTTTATTGTAATAGGCCAAAAGGTTTGAAATGTGTCTGCTCTGTTAAATATGGCTTAGTTTTCAGTGCTGTAATGGATGTAGGCTGGTACAGGGCTTGGAAAATACAGGTAGTCCTCGACTTACGACCACAATTGAGCCCCAAATTTCTGTTGCTAAGTGAGCTTTGCCTTGTTTTACAACCTTGTCGCAGTTGCTAAGTGAATCACTCCAGTAACATGGATATTAAATGAATCTGGCCTTTCCATTGATTTTGCATGTCAGAAAGGGGATCACATGCCCTGGAACACTGCAACTGTCATAAAAATGAGTCAGTCGCCAGATGACTGAATTTTGATCATGTGACCATGGGATTGTGCAATGGTCATAAGTGTGAAAAATGGTCTTAAATCACTTTTTTCAGTGCCATTGTAACAACAATCACTAAATGAACTGTTGTAAGTCGAGGGCTATCTATGTGAAACATAAATTGCTCATCCATGCACGAGGAAGATGTTTTCTGCTTTAAAGAGGAGTGCAAGAAAGAAACTCAAGATTGGCAGTTTTTCGTTCCTTATGTGGGATATTCTGGTTGCTAATTGAAGAAAGGGCTTGAGAAGTATCCATGTGGAAATGAAAGCCTTTTATACAAATTGGATGTTGGTATCTATTTAGCACAGGCATGCAGAACCTTACAAATCCAGAATGCCACATTTTGTCTAAAAGCAATTATTTGATGTTCAAAGTGGTCTGTTTCAACTTTTTTTTTTTAGGTGTTTCAAGCCCATTGTGCTTTCAGAATTATTGAGCAAGCCTGTTTCAAACACAGAACAGTTGATTAAATATCGACAGAGTATTTTGAATTTGAAATTTTGCACACTACTCATATTTAGAAAAAAAAATAGTGTAATTCTCAATTACAGGAGCTATTTTAATATTTGTAAAATTAATTGATTGGGAGAGTATTAATACAATAGGATAGTACAGGGGTCCCAAAACTGTGGCTGCGGCCAATTGACCATGGGGCCGCAAGTATGGCTGGCTGGCGCATGCATGTTCACAGTCCCACTCGTGCAGGCGTCGCCATGGGTGTTTGTGGCCCCACTCATGCGAGTGTCACAGGAGTTTGCGTCCCCACTCTCGCGAATATTGCTGGCGTTTGCTGCCCCACTCGGGCGAGTGTTGCAGGTGTTTACGGCCATACTCGTGTGACTGGTGCACTCATTTGCGGTCCCACTTGTGCAAGTGCTCATGTCCACAAAACCATAACTACTCCTCCCTCCCCCCCTGCCCCCCCCCCCGGCTCCAGGCCACCAACCCTGAAAGGTTGGGGAAAATCTGTGATAGTACATCTTCAATTAAGCATTATGGCAAAGATTATAAAGTTCACCTGTAAATGAGATTTATCAAACATCTCTTAAGGGCATTAACAACTAAGCCATAGCACAAAATAGAAGCGTAGCCTGATTAAATTAGTTTCTCCAAAATGCTGCAACATGAGATTTATAATTATTAAGAAAAAAAAATGCAAATGCACATTATGGTAGATCTCATGAGTTTTCAGGAACCTGGCATAAAATAAAAACGAAGGATAAAATAAGCACAAAAGCTAGAGGTGTGAGTAAACTAGAGTTACTATGACACTGAGTTCATTGCTAAAAGTGAGATCTGGTGGATGTTTCTGTATATTTATATTAACCAGCCACAGAGTTAGGGGCCCATTAGGCTTACAGAATTAACTTCTTTTTATCAGCTGCTGCTAACAATGGTTGGTTCTACTGCACAAGATTGTATCTCAGCTGCAGTTTTCCATTGGTGTCAGGCTTATAGTTGCTGGTTTTAAGAGCTCTTTATTCTACGCAGTGCCCAGGTCGATTGCAGCATCTAATCAAGTGTGGCTGACTTAGCTTCCTATTTGAATAGGACACTAACTGGAAAGTTGAGGATATATGCTGTCTGACAAATACAGATTAAAAAGCAAAGGCAAACTACAGATACTTCCTGACTTACAATCATAGTTGAGCCCAAAATTTACCTTGCTAAGCAAGGGTGTGGTTGAGTGAATTTTGCCCTATTTTACAACCTTTCTTGCCACAGTTGTTAAGCGAATCACTGCAGCTGTTAGTAGCAGGCTTATTACGTGAATCCGGCTTCCCTGTTGACTTTGCTTGTCAGGCGGTCGCAAAAGGGGATCACATGACCCCAGGACACGGCAACCGTCGTGAATAAGAGAGAGCCGAGGTGGCGCAGCAATTAGAGTGCAGTACTGCAGGCCAATTTAGCTGACTGTGTTCAGCAGGTCAGCGGTTCAAATCTCACCGGCTCAAGGTTGACTTAGCCTTCCATCCTTCCGGGGTAGGTAAAATGAGGACCCAGATTGTTGGGGGCAATGTAAATATAAATATAAATATAAATATAAATATAAATATATATATATATATAATATATTATATATATATATATATATATATTATATATATATACATACATACACATTGCTTACTGATGTACACCGCTTAGAGAGTGCTTGCACTTAAAGCGGTATATAAGTCTCATAAATAAATAAATAAATATGAATCGGTTGCCCAGCATCCAAATTTTGATCATGTAACCATGGGGATGCTGCAACGGTTGTGTGAAAAACAGGCATAAATCATTTTTTTTCCTGGTGCCATTGTAACTTCGAATGGTCACTAAATGAACTGTTGTAAGTTGAGGACTACCTGTAGTTTCAGATCACCCTGAGAAAGTGGCAGAAATAATGGCAGTATACGTCATTAGGAGTGGAGTCCAGTTGAAGATGACGTTACTTTGTGAGCTGTAGATAAATTCAGAAACATCATAAGGATGGTGGTTCTACTCAGGAATAATGTAAGACCAGAGTATCTCTGTCCTTTTTGTAAGCTTAATTGATTTACCTGAAATTTCAGGTGGAACCTTTACTTCGCAATTCCCTTAGGAACAGAAGATAATGTCCTCAACTGAATATTTGCTCATAGAATTTCAGTGAGCTTGAACCAGCTTAAACTGTTTACACTGAAGCATAGAACAAAATGATCTTACCTTGCATTGCAATAAAGGCACAATAGGTTACTGTATTTGTATGGCATTATTTAATAGGTTTTATTTTACCCCCCAAAAAACGTTATTTCAGCTATACCAGTAACTATCAAATATTTGCCAATAATTTACAGAATACAACAGAGCAATTAGATTTAGACTGGCACATAAATTAATGCATATAACCGATACCTACAGGGAAAAAACAGGTTTCTTGGTGCAAAATAAACTTGCTTTCTGTATACCATTTTCTGCTACTTTCACCTTAAAAGACAACCATGGATTGTGGCTTTGGAGTTATTGTAATGTAAAAGCTTCCAGGTAGTCTATTTTTTAGTGCAAACATGCCTTAGGCGGTAAAGTGTGTGGCTGCAGTACCCGTAGTATTGTTTCTAAGGAGTGATCATCAGCCTGAGCAAACTTGGAAGATTACATATTTCCAGTACTGTATTTCCCTGTTTTAAAGGTCCCATTCAGTTTCAGAAGCGATGCAGAACCAGCAAATGGCTGAGACTATTCTTGAAGACATGCAGGTCTAAAGTACCCTTGAAAATATTTGCATGATTTACCTTGTTTAGGATATATATATATTATCCTGTTGATCAGCCAAAGGATTTTCACTCAACGAAGGTTTTAGGCCTTTATAAACATTTAAAAAATGGAATTGAGGAGCCAAACACTATTAATTTAAACCCTTTGTAAACATGAAATCAATAGGAATGAGAGGATGTTGAATGGGAAATAGATGATATATACTATCTTGTTGAAGATCATATCCAAACAGAAGCCATCACTTGTTCAGGATACTGGAGCCACCATTTTTAAAATTGTGATTCAGAGAGTTTTCACGGAAGAAAGTCCCAAGTCACAAAATGTCTATGGAGATTCTCAGTCATCCAGGTCATGGTGTTTTTTCCAAAGGCAACTGGGCTTAGTTTTTTCCTTGAAGATGTTTCGCTTCTCATCCAAGAAGCTTTGTCAGTTGGACTGAACAGAGAACTGAAGAAGCTTCTTGGATGAGAAGCGAAAGGTCTTCAAGGAAAAAACAAAATCCAGTTGAAAAAGCACCTTTGGGCCAAACCATAAATGTTTTTCTGCCCTTGAAGTAACAGGCTTGTATGTCTGTGCTGAAACTATGTACTTTATGGTACCTTTTTCTGATGGAGAAGATGGCTACACTTCAGATTAAAGTTCCTCATACTCTTGAAATGTTTCCGCATTATATAATCCATTCATATCTATTTTTTGGCGTGCTGTGAAGATACCCCCAGCAGAGATAGTTAAATGTATCATGGATTACATCATTTTCTATAGAGTTCTAGAAACTATAAAGTATACCCCTCTTAAGCCTGGTTTTTAAGGTGTTGTAATTTACAAAGAAATGTACTTCTCTATATTTGGAGTATTATCTAATTTTACAGAAAACATTACCTTTAGGTATCTTAGTTTAGGTTTAGGAGTTGAAATTATTATCACGAAAAGCTATATTGTGATATGTTTAATATATATAGCATGGCATGAAAGCGGTTTCCTTGTTGTGTTTTATTATAAGCCACCCTTGTTACATCATATGCAGGCCACAGTGTACACGCAACAAAATTAAAATTTTAAAAAGATTGGGTGTCCCATTGCTTTAGCATGATGTGGCTTGTAAAAAAAAATTAGGACGGGTAAAGAGGTTTTAATGGGTTTTCACATTCTAATTTCCTGTTTTTCTCTTTGCAGGAACGTCAGAATCAAAATAAACAATAAGAATAAGCATATATGGTTTGCTATATATATATACATATATATATATATATATACTAGAACTGATACTAAATTTGATTATGAAAAATTGAATCTTTTTTTTAAAATGCCTTGGTGCTGTGTATTCTGGCATCAGGAGATTATAAAGCTTTCAGCTCCAATATCTCTTTTTTGCAGGGGAAATTCAAATCTTGCATCTTTTTAAGTACACTGTAGTGGGAGGGGTTGGGTTTTGTTTTTGTTTTTTGTTTGCCCAGCTGAATATGCATTAAGTTGTAATCTTTTTCTATGTAAAATGCTGTAGAATCCATTAATAAAGATGTTTCTTGTTTTTTTTTTAAAAAATTTAAGTTGGTTAAACAAGTTCATCTGCAATTGAAGATTTTGAAAATATTTAGCGTTTTTTCCAAAGACTTTTAATTGCAGCACAAATTATGTTTCTAATTTGAAAAGTCATTGCTTTTATATTTACGTACCACAGATCCCCTTGTCTCACCATTCCCACAGTCGGTTTGATTCCTATGGCAAGTAGAAACACAAATATCGGTTGGGGTTTTTATTTTTATTTTTTGAGAAATAACCTGTGTCACAAAACATTGGCATTTAATTTAGCAAGCTCAGGTTATTTTATGAAGTTCAATTTTATCTATCACATTCATTATTTTTGAAAAAATTTTGAAAGTATACTTCTGCCTGCCTTACAGAAAATCAAAAAGGCATTAATTCACAGGGGTAATTTCGCATGCAAGAAGTATAGATGGGATTTCACACAAACACAATTGTACATTTTCATCATTTGCAGTTATTATTATTTTTTGTGTGGATATTGCATGAGAAATATTCCTCATGGATTGTACTTTACATCTTAAATTATTTTGTCTATAATTGGTGAACATTAGTGAACATCTGCTTTGTATCATATCTTGCAAAAAAAAAAAAAGCTGACAAGTTTCCTACCATAATTTTTTTTGCTTTATCTGTAGCTTTTAACCATTTAAATTTCAGGGGCTTGGGCGAAATGTGGCTTTTAATTTTCCCCCGTTTTTTAATATTATTAAATTCATTACTTTTAATCGATCCCCCCCCCTCCGTTTCCCCCCACCACTCACTCCCTTGAGGAAGTCACTTTGGGATTTTATATTAATAATGGTGAGCTTTAATCTCGAATCTTAGTTCAGACTCATATGATGGATTATGCTTCAGATGTTTAAAATTGATTGTGTGTGCGTGTGCCTATTTTTTCTGTTGGATGAGTAAAAACAACTGTTTTAAGAAATGAATCTTCTGTCATGTTTTTGTGGAATGAGGAAGCTGTCGGAAGAAGTGGCCACCAACCGGAGTTTTCAAAAAAAAAAAAAATTTAGCATGAATTCTTGGTGCTCATGCCTGTTGCTCTAGCACATTGAATCTGCACGTGTTTAATTGTAGAGAATCTTTTACTTATATTAGAAAGCAGATATCTTCTGAAAAACAATATTTACGCAAGAGGACCTCCAATTTAAATGAAAGTTTTAAGCTGTATCATTTAGACTTGTATTTAGAACATATAGCTTTGTCTGTTACTTCTGATGTAAGGAGTAATGGAACAGCATCAGATTAACTTTTTCCTCTAGGAGAATACAAGCCTTAATAAATAATACCTACTTAGCAAGTGTGACGTTCTTTTATTTCTCCCCTCGCCCTCCCTCTAGCCTTCAGGCTACTGCCAGTTCTTCACACCACTTCCCTTCTTCACTAAACTGGGTTACAAAGACAATAGAGAGCTTCACGCTAAGGCTGGTGCCCAACGTTAGAAGGACTCAAATCTTGGTTTGGTTATGCTGTCCTCGATGCCTTGCTCCGAAAAGAGAGGGCAGTGTTAAGCATCCATGAATAAGATTAAGGGGGACGGGATCTTCTGTCTTTTGTGGAGCAAGGTCCAAACTTCCTTTTCAGATGAGGAAGTTGTCTGTTGCTAGAGGTAAGTGGTTGTGCCAATTTAACCACTGGGTAAGCATGCTAAGAAGAACTAAGTCAGGGGTAGGCAACCTTGGCTCTTTTATGACTCGTGGACTTCAACTCCCAGAATTCCTGAGCCAGCATGGCTCAGCTTGGAAGCCTCTCCCTTTCCCCTCATCAGGGCTGGCTCAGGAATTCTGGGAGTTGAAGTCCATGAGTCATAAAAGAGCCAAGGTTGCCTACCCCTGGACTAAGTACAGGTAGTCCTCGGCTTAACAGCAGTTCATTCATTTAGTGACCGTTCAAAGTTAACAACGGCACTGAAAAAAGCGACATCACTTTTTCTTGTACATTTTCCACAGTTAACGGCCTTTGCAGCATTCCCATAATTGTGATCAAAATTCAGATGGCTTAGGAGTCCGTTCATATTGATGACCATTGCTGTGTCCCCAAGGTCATGTGATCAACTTTTGTGACCCGACAAAGTCATTGGGGAAACCAGAGTCACTTAAGAACCAAGTTACTAACTTATCAACGGCAGTGATTCGCTGAATAACTGTGGACAAAGAAAGGTTGTAAAATAGGACAAAATTCACCTAATAAAATGTCTCACTTAACAGAAATGTTTAGCTCCACTCTGGTTGTAAGTCAAGGACTACCTGTAGAGTCCTATTTGACTAATAGAGATAAAGTAATATAGGTAGTCTTCAACTTACAACAGTTCGTTTAGTGACCAAAGTTGCAACGGCAGGGGGAAAAAATGACGTGACTGTTTTTAACACTTGGGACAGTTGCAGCATCCCCCTGGTCATGTGATATAAAGTTCAAGACACTGGCCAACTGGCATGTACTTAACGATGGTTGCAGTGTCCTGGGGTCATGTGACCACCTTGTGCGACCTCCTGACAAGGAAAATCGATGGGGAAGCCACATTCACTTAACAGCCACGTTACTAGCTTAACAACTGCAGTGATTAACTTACCAACTGTGGCAAGAAAGGTCAAAAAAACGGCGCAAAACTCAACTCTTTCACTTAGCAGTCGAAATTTTGGGCTCAATCGTGATCGTAAGTCGAGGAATACCTGTTTAGGCATTTATATTTTCTCTTATCATTCTGTCCATCAAATAGGTAAACTGGCCTCCATCGATTCACATTCTGCTGGGTAAGTCCTATCAGGAATGGGGGAAAGGAGGAAAAAAATACAGTGGCTAGTTCAGTTTGTTAATTGTTTTCCTTTATGCTGGTCTTTTGGCTGAAATCAACTTTGACCTGAACTGATGGTTAGCTGACCTGTCACTTAGACCTGTCACTTGCTTGGTATTTGTAGTATGTTCCTCTGAATTAGTGGATCAGAGGATTTGCTTTTGGAACAGTCTTTGAGCAAATGTATGAAAATACTAGGATTGGCTATAATGGATCAGTTAAGGCTACAGAGGAATACAGGCATTCCTCGACTGAACCACCACAATTAGAATCAGAATTTCTTGTTGCTAAGCAACATGGTTGTTAATGCAACCATCATTTAACTGCAACAGATTTTGGTCACCGTACAACAAAAAAGATGTTGGGACTTTGGAAAAAGTTCAGAGAAGATGATCCAAGGCCTGGAGACTAAAACATAACGAAGAACGGCTGCGGGACTTGGGTTTGGCTAGTCTAAAGAAAAAAAAATAGGGGAGATATGATAGCAGTATTCCAGTATTTGAGGGGCTGCCACAAAGAAGAGGGGGTCAAATTATTCTCCAAAGCACCAGAGGGAAGGGCGAGAAACAATGATTGGAAACTGATCAAAGAGAGAAGCAACCTGGAATTAAGGAGAAACTTCCTAACACGACAATTAACCAGTGGAACAGCTTGCCTCTAGAAATCGTGGGCGCTCCATCACTGGAAGTTTTTAAGAAGAGATTGGACAGTCGTATGAGATAGTATTGGCTCTGGTGCTTGAGCAGGGGGCTGGACTAGAAGATCTCCAAGGTCCTTTCCAGCTTCTATTCCTAATTCTATTCTATTTTCATGTCATTAATGAGTATGGCTTTCCCCTGTTGACTGTCAGAAGCTGACTGGGAAGATCGCAAATGGCAATCCCACGATCCCATTACCAAGTGCCCAGGTTTTGATAAAGTGACTGAAGATGCTGTTTTTGTCATAAGTGCAAGAAATGTTCATAAGGTGTTTTTTTTTAGTGCCGTAACTTTGGTCACTAAATCAATGGCTGTAAATTGGGAACTACCTGTAATCATGTAGGTAATTTCTCTTGCCAGCTTAGAAACAATATAGATCATGGTTTTTTTTTAAATTTAAAATGTGGATTTTGTGTGCGTGCATAGAGAAATTGTCACTAGCGCTGATGATGTTGCCTAATTTGGGTAAATGAAACATCTGCAAGAAAACAACCAAGCTCGGAGAGCACCAAGGTCTCCAGAATTCAACCCTACAAATATTCTCCTTTATTGAGAGAAATGGTCATTTCCCAGAATCCTGTTCTGGCTCAGTTTTAACGGACATCTGATCCTTTTCAAAACTGGTCTGTGGAAGCGAAGCCTGATCCACAGCCTGAAGGATTCAATTAACATCAGTACCCAGATTGTTGCTGTAGATCAGGGATGGGCAATTAATTTTCTCAAGGGATCACATGAGAAATTGGGATTGTTGTGGAGGGTTGAACCAACAGGGCTGTGAAAGTGCATAGGCATGCACGCATGGACATACGTAAATTGAAAAAAAAAAAAAGGCAACCGCTTTCAAAATTAAAGCAATCCAAAATGGGCCAGACAGGGACAGCCAAAGGAGCCGATAAAATGTAAAATGGCTAGGTCTCCTGTAGAGAAATAAGACAAAACAACTTCCCCACACCCTTTCCAAAAATCTTCAGTCTGGCACTCTTCCCCTCAGAAACAATAATAATAAAGTTGGAAGGGACCTTGGAGGTCATCTAGTCCAACCCTCTGCTCAGGCAGGAAACCCTATAGTAGTAGTAGTAGTAGTAGTAGTAGTAGTAGTAGTAGTAGTAGTAATGATAATGATAAAGTTGGAAGGGACCTTGGAGGTCATCTAGTTCAACCCCCTGCTCAGGCAGGAAACTATACCATTTTGACAAATGCCTGTCCAGTCTCTTCTTAAAAGCTTCCAGTGTTGGAGCATTCACCACTTCTGGAGGCAGGCTGTTCCACTGGTTAATTGTTCTCACTGTCAGAAAATTTCTCCTTAATCCCAGGTTGCCTCTCTCTTTGTTTAGTTTTCAACTGTTGCTTCTTGTCCTGCCTTCAGGTGCTTGACTCCCTCTTCTTTGGGGCAGCCCCTGAGATATTGGAACACTTGCTGTCATGTTCCCCCTCGTCCTTCTCTTCATTAAACTAGTCATACCCAATTCCAGCCATCGTTCCTTATATGTTTTAGTCTCCAGTCCCCTGATCCTCTTTGCTGCTCTTCTCTGCACTCTTTCTAGAGTCTCAGCATCTTTTTTACATCGTGGTGACCAAAACTGGATGCAGGCTTTTTCAAACCTTTCTGCTTGGTGGAGTGATCACAAAATTTCAGAGATCTTCTGGTGTGTTATTTATATCACCCCCGTTGTCTGTGGAGATTCTCAGCCATTCAGGTCATGGGTTAGTCCCAAAGGTGCTTTTTTCAAAAGGCAGCTAGACTTCGTTTTTCCTGCTTCAGCTTCTTGGATGAGAAGCAAAAGGTCTTTTAGGAGAAACATGAGTCCAACTGCTTTTTGAAAAAAAAAGGGATAGAATCAAGATCACGTGAAGTATTAATACCACTTTACAATGCCTTGGTAAGGCCACACTTGGAATACTGCATCCAGTTTTGGTCACCATGATGTAAAAAAGATGTTGAGACTCTAGAAAGAGTACAGAGAAGAGCAACAAAGATGATTAGGGGACTGGAGGCTAAAACACATGAAGAACGGTTGCTGTATGTCTAGTTTAATGAAGAGAAGGACGAGGGGGGACATGATAGCTGTGTTCCAGTATCTCAGGGGCTGCCCTAAAGAAGAGGGAGTCAAGCTATTCTCCAAAGCATCTGAAGGCAGGACAAGAAGCAACGGATGGAAACTAACCAAAGAGAGAAGCAACCTAGAACTAAGGAGAAACTTCCTGACATTCAGAACAATTAACCAGTGGAACAACCTGCCTCCAGAAGCGGTGAATGCTCCAACACTGGAAGTTTTTAAGAAGAGACTGGACAGCCATTTGTCTGAAATGGTATAGGATTTCCTGCCTGAGCAGGGGGGTTGGACTAGATGACCTCCAAGGTCCCTTCCAACTTTATCATCATCATCATTATTATTATTATTACTATCGGCCCCATTCAATTGGCTTTAGATGGACAGAGCTGGAGTTCATTTATGGAGAAAATGACCCCATTGAGCCAGCTCTGCAGATCTCACACTCCTTTCGGTGATCCAGGAAGTCCCCTTTGACCCATACTACCCAAAATAAGTACATGGTTTTGTGACATGTTGACATAGGCAGTGGGAAAGTAAGCCATTAGGAAAAGTCTTAGAAAAAGAAACAAAACTCACAAGGGAAGGGGAAGCCCTGGGTATACTTTGCCCCCTCTCTGCTCCCATCAAGAACTGTACATTCCTTGGTTTCCTATCCCTGCTCCAAAATGAAGTCTGTCCTGCAAACTTGGTGTGTTTAATAACTCACAATTAAAGCAAACGTACCTTAAAAGTGATGTGCAAACCAAAAGGAGCTGTG